ACTGCAACCATTGATCAGTCTTTAATTTGTGCAGGAACCAAGATTCAAATGAAATAGGAAGGCAGTGGAGGATGGGTTGCCACTGTCTGCTTTCACAGCTGGAAGATCATGCTTATCCTTGTTTGGGTCCCAGGCAGCCCAAAGAGGACCTGTAGGAGCAGGTTTATCAATATAGGGGCTCTGAAACTTGTTCATATGGGCCAGCTGAGCAGAGAACTGTGCATGTTTAGGGGCAGAGCATGAGCTGATAGTTGCACATTAAATGACTCCCAGTGGGGTCAGGGGGTGATCTAGAGGCCCATTCCAAAGGAAGGTGTTCGGGGTAAGGCCAAGCAGCCTGAAGTTTGAACTAGCATCTGTGTCCTTTTCCCACCCCCTAGGTATTACAGAGGGACGCATGGGGTGATTGTTGTCTATGATGTCACCAGTGCAGAATCCTTTGTGAATGTAAAGCGGTGGTTACATGAAATTAACCAAAACTGCGATGATGTCTGCCGGATACTGGGTAAGCTCCTACTCTGCTGCTGCTTGTTCTGGGAAGCCTTTGCTATGGCAGCCTGGCCAGCGTAGGAGGTGTAGCATTGACCTTTTTTCCTTTTTAGTGGGAAATAAGAATGATGACCCAGAGCGGAAAGTAGTGGAGACAGAAGATGCCTATAAATTTGCCGGGCAGATGGGGATCCAACTGTTTGAGACCAGCGCCAAAGAAAACATTAATGTGGAAGAGGTAATACCCCGAAGGGAATAGGAATATGGCTACTTTTCAGAAGTAACAGGCTAGGAATGGCAAATATTGCATCTGTTAAAGGGAGATGGAAATTTCACTGTTAGGAGGCCACATACCAACAAGAGTAGGAGGGGTTTTCATTGCTGTTAGTTAGCATTTATTCTGCCTGGGGAGGAAGAGTAACCCTCCGTGTATGCAAACGGCAGATGAGCAGTTGCAGTGGGAAGGAGAGAGATGGGGTCAGGTGGAGAGGTGCTGAAGATCCAATGACTTTTCTTCAGTGCAATAAAGGTTAAAGCTGGAGGGCGAAAATTAATAAAAATGCATCAGCCTATTAGGTATTTTTCCCAAGAGATCTTTTTTTCACTGCAAGTGGCAGCCTCAGTGGAAGGGAATGCTAGACCCTGAGTCATTGGCTTTGGTGGTGCTGTGGGCAAGTAAGGATTATGCCAAATCCTGACTTGCTTTTCTTGGGCTAGACCCTCATTCACTGGTTTTAGTGGGGGAGGGAAATGTGGGGCTGGACCCCAATTCACTGGCCTTTGGAGGGGTTGTGAGGAGAATGTGCTGAACTCTGACTTGCTGGTCTTAGTGGCATCATCTACTCCTCTGGAGGGTACCCCCTCAGCAGCCAGCCTGCACTCCCAGATGGTCTGAACTTGATTGTGTTTCTCTTGCAGATGTTTAATTGCATTACAGAGCTGGTTCTGCGAGCAAAGAAAGAAAACTTAGCAAAGCAGCAACAGCAGCAACAGAACGACGTAGTGAAGCTAACTAAGAACAGTAAAAGGAAGAAGCGGTGCTGCTAATGCCATTTCCCTGTTGCAGAGACTCTGCTCTGACAGATCAGCCCCTCCTAGACTTGGGCTTCTTCACTGGGGCAGGCTTCGGGAGGACTTTCTCAGTTTGTGCCGTTATTTAAAGATTTTTCTCCGTGTTTTCTATCAAGAGGCCCTGGCACCTTACCATGTTAGTGCCAAGAAAGTATCGGATGGACTCTTGCCCCTTCTCTCCTCCCCTGCTCATTCCAGTGCGCCTTGTAGACAAGAAAGGACGTTGCCTACCAAGTGGACTGATTAACCCAAGAGTTTGTACATAATGTATATTGCTTTAACCAGCCGCACCTCCCTCTTGTCACTCTGGCTTATGCCTTCTTAATGTCAACCAATCATGAACTGCAGAGTTATCTTTTTAAAGATAGAATACCAAGTTCTTAACTCGAGTAGGCTCCAGGCTGGCAGCGATTGCTGCTGGGGGCTTGGGCTTCATTTTGTTTGGGCTCCAGGCTGGCAACTGGTGCCCCTGGGGCCTTTGGCTTCACTTTGAGTTCCAGGCTGTTACTGGGGCTTCAGCTTCATTTTTCTAGGTTCCAGGGTTGCTGCTGGAGCCTGGGGTTTCACTTTACCAGCCCCTGGGCTAGCGGCTGGTGCTGGGTTTCACTTTGCCATGCTCCAGGTTTGTGGCCAGGGCCTTGGGTTTAACATTTGCTTTGTGGTGCAGCTCAGCTGTATCTGCTCTTCAGTTTGTATCAAGATATTTAAAAACAAACCTGCAAAAAATGGGATTTATTTGGATTTAAACTTTTTAAAAAAACAAAATGAAACTAAACTCCTGTGACTTCTGTTTCTGGGTCTGCTGGTTGTTCCAGGCGAGGGTCCAGACTCTTCTTGAGAGCAACAAAACAGTGTGAATCTGCCAAAAAAAGCTCTTCGTGTTGCCCTGTCCACAAGTAGATCTGAACTCAGATGTGAATGCCGGTGGCAAAGCATTGCTTTCAAGAGAGATGGAACATGTGGAAGTGAATCCAGCTCTTTTGGTTGGTGTCTGGATCCAACAGTTGCTGCAGGATCATTCCCAGGAGTCTCCTGACAGAGATGATTGCTCTCGCTAATGTAAAGAAATGGAAAGCTATTGCTTGCATTATGTGGTGATGGTTGTGGGTAGGGGTTATCTCTGGTAACATACTCTGGTCTCACTATGCTGAACAAATAGCATTCCCCGGGCCGCCTTTGGCTTTTGTGGGAAAATAAGGGCTCAGTTCATCAGTCCCTGGATAGATATGCTCAGAGGCTGAGACTGTCGTAGCAGGAGCAGGATCTATTTGGGCTGCTGAGTAACGTGTTCATCAACTGATTCTCTAAGCAAAAAAGCAATTCTTTTGAAATACTGACCGGAAAGGGGTGGGGGTTTTGGCTTCATACTTGATCCTGAAGATGACACAGCACTTGGGTGTCAGCACATGGTCCTCTGGAATCACTGGCCTTAGGTTTGGTAGGGCATGTCCCACTGACATGCATGAGCTTGGACTCATCCCAATCACACCCAGGAAAGGCTAAATTGAAATCAGACTTATTTATTTTGCCTGCCTTTTTAGATTCTTATGGTTTGTGGTAAAAGCCCTGATCGTACAATCACATCACAGATCAGTCTGACTTTAAAGATTTTTTTTTTTCATGCAAACCATGAACGTGTGACAGGTTTTTAACCAGTGCAAGTGTTGGGAGTGTATAGCAGCTGCCTTTTCCCATCCCCCATCTCTTTTCTGCACATATCTGTCCATGTTTCATTGGTAACCCAAGAGTAAAAATGAGCTGGAGATAGTGGGGTGATACTGCTAGAGTGAGCACTGCATGAATGACAAGACGGGCATTGGTTGCCTCTGCAGGTGGCAGCAGAAATTACACCAGGCATCCACCCCATGTGCTTCCAATGTGGAATATAGCACATGTACCAGGAAGGAGGTCTGTCAACTTTCTCTAGCCCTTCCTATTGAAATGGAGCTGGCTTGTGCCACAGTTACCACTCCGTGGGCTTGACTTGAAATACATTGATAGGGCTCGTGTGCTGAAGAGTTTGTAGATCCTGGTAGGGGTAAAGGGTATAGGGAAAAGGAAAACTCTGAATTTGTTGGAACTGATACAATAAAGTGAGGAAATGGTGCACCTGATCTGGAGTGTTTTGATGTGGAAAGGTTAGTTCTCACTGAGTCCGGGTCTTCGTGGCCACAGGTGTGAGCTTTGCCAATTCTGCAATCCAGCTTCCTGGCTTGAAGTGGGATTTTTTTTTTAGTGCTGCCTCTATTGGCTGTAGAGGAGCAGCTGTCTACCTGCTGCTGCCACTGAGTATTAAACTGAAAGAGGGTGGGGACTGGGGACTGCATCTCTAGTGGTGCTGATGTGAAGTTTCCTAATGTTAAGCGATGGAATGTCTAACTGGTTTGCTAGGATTATTTCTGTATTGACAGTTTCTAATTATGCTTTTTAAATAATTTTAAAAAACTAAAAATAAAGGTTAAAGCTGCCAAATCTTCCTTTTGAAGGTCTGTTTCCTCTGCTGTCCAGCATCTGGAGCTGGGTTCTCTCCCTGGCTTGCCTCCATCCTCGTTATATGTGGTGCTTTTCTGCAGGGGGTGTTTAGCAAGGGACAGTGGCTGCCTTCAGTCCTCTTGCTGCCCTGGGATTTTTCACTCTTTAGTGGAACTGTATATTACATCTTTCTTTATGGGTTGAAAATTGGTGATCTGCATTTTATTCCTTCATTCCTGTCCCCAGGTAAAGCTTTGAAGACTTCACTTGCAGTTACACAGGGTAGAGCTGGAGACTCCAGCAGAGTTTGGAGCTCTTTGTTAGAAGCAGGAGAGGACAAATATTAATAAAAATCAGAGGCTCATTTTTTTTTTTCTCCCCACTGCAATTTTTTACATTGTGGGTCTACCTCCACTTAATGTCCCCCTCGGTACTTAGTTTCTCCCCCCCGTGGACAGCGTTGTGTTGATGGGAGAGCTGCTACCGCTTCTCAGGGAGGTGGATTAACTGTGCTGATGGGAGAAATTCTCCCGTCGGTGTAGGAGCGTCTTAAGCGCTGCAACTCCGCCAGTGCAGCCAGGGCCGGCTCTAAGCACTAGCCAAGGAGGAACGTGCTTGGGCTGGCCCATGTGAAGGGGCGGCGTTCCGGCCGTGCTTGGGGCGGCACATTTCAAGGGCCGGCCTTTTTCTTTCTTTTCTTTTTTTGCTTCAGTGGCTTGGTGCTTGGGGAGGCAAAAGAGCTAGAGCCAGCCCTGAATGCAGCATTTTAAGTGTAGATCTTCCCTTAGTTTCCCAGGCAGCTGAAGGTGTGAATACTCGAAATAGATGGGTTACTACTGCTTCTCTGCCCTTTTCACCGGGAAGCGCACACATGGCTGAATTGCTTGAGATTGCGAGATGTCTTGAGTGTGTATTCAGGGTGAGGTGGCTCTCTAGGTTCAGCGAATAACCAGGGATCAAAGCCCAGAGACAGTACCATAGAAATGATCCATTTTATTCTGAAGAGAACTATTTACAAAAGAAGCTGTGGAGCATTGTTTTTACTAAAAATATGCCTTTATAGATGTATATAATACGTATCTTATAAAACCCATACACTTATTTACATTACTGCTACGTACAAAAATTACAGCACTATGGTATGTACATATCTATAGATACATTCTTTCTGTTTGTCCCTGCTGTGTGCTTTTTCACTTTCAGTCTATGGGGACTGTCACTTCACTGTCTTACCCAGGCACGTCCCTTGTACCTCTAAGCTTTTGGTTAAAACAATCTTGCTTTGCAGTGAAGTGGGAATGGTAAAGAGGGTTTGCTGGATGTCCAGAATCCACCATCAATCCTAGATAGGGTAAGGCCTAAACACATCACCTGACGTCCTTGTGCGTGTACTGTTGCCAGTAAGCCCACTTTATTGCTGCTCTGCACAAGTTGTGCCGTAGACTTCAGTCCTCAGTTTCTCTTCTTAAATGGATCTCGTTTTCTTGTTGAATGGTACCTTGCTGATCTAGGTGTGTGTTAAGATAGTAAAGTGCGAGTGACTTGACTTGAATCTACATTTATTTGTATTTGTTTTCTGTACTATGCTCGAGTCTCATATATAACAGTAGGCCCCAGCTGTAGACTTTGTTAAAGGGAGCTTCCCCCTAGCTAGCAAAAAAAATTTTCCTTGTTTTCCCACAGAGGCAGCGAGATTGCTTTGTAATTGTCGTGCAGTTGTGTGAAATGTGCAGCCTCCATCCTTTAACTGTGCAACTGTTGTACAAGGTGCATGTCTCATCCCTGCCATACTGCCTGGAACGGTCCCTTAAGTACTGATGGGTGAAAATATTTTGTAGTGGTGTTCACTGCTGCAGATCCAATTCCTGGGCAGTGGTATAATCCCTGTATGCTGATGCTTGCCTGGGATACGGAATCTACTTTGCTGGGCTTCTTCCGGTTAGTGTTCTCCCTCCAAGTGACCTTTTTCAATAGGTTTGTAAGTGTCAGCTGCCCTGGGGGGGAGGGGGCGCTGGCATGTTCAACCCTCATAGGCAGTGAAAGGAGCCTGGACTTAATCCATCAAGTGCTGTCTTTGATGGTGTGCTGTCTTTGATGGTGAGTGCTCAAGGACAGTTTAAGGCAGTGGTGGGCAACCTGTGGCCTGTAGGCCGCATGCAGCCTGTCCGGGTAATCCGCTGGCAGGCTGTGAGACAGTTTGTTTACACTGACTGCCCGCAGCTCCCAGTGGCCGCGGTTCACCGTTCCTGGCCAATAGGAGCTGTGGGAAACAGCACAGGCCGCAGGGAGGTGCTGGCTGCTGCTTCCCACAGCTCCCATTGGCCCAGAACAGCAAACCGCTGCCACTAGGAGGTGCGGACAGCTGTGCCTGCAGATGGTCAGTGTAAACAAACTGTCTCATAGCCCCCCCAGTGGATTACCCTGATGGGCCACCCACGGGCCGCAGGTTGCCCACCACTGGTTTAAGGGACGATGAAACATTTAGGACACTTAAAGCAGAGCATTAACTACGTGACACTTTGGGAACATCTTGCTGAGACATTGTACTGATGCATAAAACAGTATCTATCTGGTGTTAAGCTAGTTTTGTTGCAGTTGAGCAACAGCAGCTCAGCATAAGGACAACTTCCTCTGCCCTGGTCCCTGGTTCATAAGCTCTGTCCTCCCCGTGTTCTGGGCTGAATAGCTCCCATGCCCAACCATCAGCTCGAAATATGCTTGCTTTCCTCTCTCAACCTTCCTACTGGAAAAAAAATATTGCAAAGAGATTAAGGACTAGCTTCTTCCTTAAACGAAGAGCCATGCTGTGAATTTCGATCACTAGCCTAAGCAACTGTGACCCACGTCCACTCTCCCCTCCCAGTGAACATGCAACAAAAGGCACCTTTCTTATCACTGCATCTTCATTGCATAACTTAAGCCCCTTTCCTTAGGATGGTGCATATACGCTCTCTCATGGCTATACATTTCCCCTCCTCACCCACACACATGCTGCGTACGCAGCTTGGAGAGGACTGTAGGAGACCGGCAATTGGGAAATGAAAAGGTGACAGCAGCATAAAACCCTTCTGGAACAGGCTGTTGCTTAAACATGCTAGCGTCAGCTTTCTCTAACGGGGAAATGCTTATTTCATTGGTGGGAAAGTAATTTTAAAGGAAGAGCTCTAAGTGGTACTTATATGGCCTGCAGAAGGTACCAACCCTACTACTAATCTCCTACATGCTGCAGGACTTCTAGCACCAAAGTGTGTGCGTATATGTAGAGTAGCAGCATGACCATACTCCTCACACCAGGCTGATCAAAGCCTTCTCACTACAAGGGGAGAGTCTACAGCGACACTGAGCATAAGGGGATCCAAACTTCTACCATCAAGGCCTGAGTAGCAGAAAACATATTCACAGGAGCTACGGTTGGCCCTGAAGATCAGCCCTATAACTAAAGCTACTGCAGCAATGCTGAGCAGTGGAAGAGCTACACCTAGGACCTGATTTTCAGACACACAACAACCCATTCCTATTCAAATCCATCAGTTTTAGGTGCTCGGGACTTTGAGATGGCAGGTCATTGGAGCCCAGTCCTTATTCCCATTGAAGTGACTCAGATTTTTGGCTATTGATTTCACTAGGAAGATGCACAAGGCCTTTGGCCCGAAGGCTGAGCTACACTGAACTTCCCCAGCCAGACTTAAGGCTAAGGGAAGAGTTGGTACATGAGGAGTACTGAACATTCACAACTCCCATTCACTGCATGTTGAGTTGTAGGTGCTCCCCGATGATCAAATCCTCAATACTTGGGGGCGGGGGGCGTGTCTGGAACTGACCAACAGGGAGCTAGATTCACCTTTTAGCATAGTGCAGTTGTAAATCTGCTAGAGCTGGAAGGGATCTGGATTCCTGATGCAGTAGGAGTAGCTATGGAGAGCACCAGGGGGAATAAAGACTTCCAGTCATATGCAGAGGACAATAAGGACTTCCCCCATAGAGTAAGCTACAGCCATGTAAACATGTTACGTTTCCAGGACCAATGCAACTACAGCCTGTGTAATCTGCAGGACAGCCCAGCTGCCAGGACTGGAGGTTGTATGAAGGCCACTCCTTTCCCCTACTCTTACTGTGATGCCAGTAGTCAGTCCCCTGTATTGCCTTGTCCTGGGGTTGCTTATTTCCTTCTCCAGCATGAGAGAATGAGTTTAAGACAATTGGATTATTCTTCACAGCAGAAACTGAGGGGCCTGTGTCAAAACGCCTAAAACGTACCCTGAAGTTTATCACTTTGCTTAAGGAATAAGAAAAGTTGCTCTCAGTTGGTATCACATTGTCAAACTGCAAATCTCCAATTCATGTAAACATTTTGTTCAGACCAGGTGGATTGTAAATAGTGCAGTCTCAAGGGTTAATTCCTTCACCCTTTGTGTTTTTCCTTTTGGATCAGATTCAGGTCCATTAGGAAGCTGGGCAGTTGCCCCCAGCTCTAAGCAGGAATAATTGGAAATATTTCTCCTTTCAAATTAATTTTTCTTGAAAAAGGAAAAGAGACGGTTCCTTTCTGCCCCAATGGGCTCATCCCCCTGCTGCTCCGGCCTGAACACGGGGGAGGGTCTTGCACACCGCTTTGCTCTGTAGCCATTGGAGAAGGAATAAGCAGGCTGGCTCCATTCCTTCAGATGTTTGTCCATCAGCTGCTGGTCAATGACCCTGTGCATGTCATCCTGTAATAGAAGGGAAAAGGGATGCTCAGTCAGAAGCACAGCCAGGGTGTCAGCAGAATTTACTCATGGACAGGGCTAAAATGGGATTATAGAATGGCCATGATGAAAGGAGGAAGGGTGGAGGGTACAAGGACCTCATTTAACCACACAGCATGAGCCTTCATCAGCATCGCTGGCTGCTCCTCAAGCACCAGCCCATAAAGAGACAAGAAGTTCACCTTTTGCCCCACCATTGTTAAAATGGAAATCAGGCCATTCACAGTTTAATGTAGTTTAAGGGGTGGCTGTTTTCCAGGGTTTTGCTGATGCCCGTGAAATGGCGCATCGTTTCCGGTACCCTTCTCCAAGGTCCCTGGCTTGTCTTTTCAGAGCTGGCTGGCTGCCATCTCCCCTCTCTCTGTCCAGAAAGCCGCACAGCTGAGGCATGTGACTGAAGCAGAGTCCAGGAAGGGACAGGACTGTAGTACTGAACCTAGAGTAGCTCTGTACTGAAGAGTAGGCAGGCCAGGTGACAGAGAGGTGGTGAGGGTGACCACATACATGAGAACCTCTTCAAGAGGGAACTAAGGAGGTAACGTTTCTTTTGATAATCAAAGAGAAACTACTGTCATGGGGTGTGCTACGGATGAGTTATGTGGCATTAGTACAATTTACTGAGGAGTATTATGGTGACTTTGTTTCCGATCAGTTTTCAAATAACATGGCACAGACCATCGGCAGTTGCCTGATCAGCAGGAGGTTATAATTCGCCACTGGATCATCCAACACTTTTAAAGTATAAGAAACCTTCCTTCCCCTAAGTAACTTTCACAGCATTGTAATCAACAGGATTGCCATTTGCAAAAGGATTCTAGTCAACAGCCAACTCTAACATCATCCAGCAAGACATGACTTGACAACAGGGAAATCGAAGTTTAATAACCCCAAACCCAGTTCTGCTCCATTTGACCCTAATGTCGTATGCAAGCAGGAGACCATCTTGTACATGTTTCGCAAGAAAACAGGATCAGAATTACCATCTTGTGTGAAATTTCAAGTATGTCAAATCAGCCCGAATTGACGAGGCTCCTTGCCTCTCAGTGTCCATGGGGGTCAATAGAACTTGAGGCTCTGACTAGTTAAACACAGCAATACAAATACACAGCACTTCCGCTGTTCAAAGAGCTGAGCAAACACCAGTTCCTCACATAGACACCTCGCTGGAAGCAGGTACAGTCAGAATCCCCAGTTCACGGACGGGGAAATGGAGTCTGAGTGGTGATGTAATCTGCCATTCTCAGAGCAAGTATTCTGTTCGCACCTGTCTCCTACTGCACCTCAGCTGACTCAGCCCCACATCCTTCAGACGGTATTTGTTTGTGTTTTGTTTTGAATTTAGAACAGACTAACAGCTACCCATCACTCATGGGAATGACATTCTGAAAAGCCAGGACAGTCAGGGTTGAGCTTTCACATCTGTCTTCTGAACGAGGCCTCTGCATTCTGATAGCTGCTCTCTCACTCCAGCTGGCTGTCTGATAGTCTCTGCCAGCAACAGGCACCATTAGGCACCCTCACGCTAAAAGTCCTATTTTTGCGACACCTGAATTCAGGCTCTGCTGGGCTAATCCCGGAATGAGGAAATAGCCACCTGGCTGTGGCGGCTGATGAACTCCTCACGGCTGTCAAAACCTACTGTTTAGATGAAACCCCCTGAGTGGTGGGGTCTGATTATGCAGAATGACTTTCTAGCCAGATGGCTACATAGTTGAACAAAGATTCGGCACTAATCAGACTCAGAGTTGCGTGAGTCCAGAAGATGGCAATTTCCAACCCACACACATTCTATGCAACATAACACTCTACTGGAGCTTGGTTGCTATGGACGACCATCAAATGCCAGTGGACACAGATGGCACATGCTCCATCACCCACCATCACAGCTCAAATGCCAGCTCTGATTTGGTATGTTCAGGGCTCCAGAGATGTGGAACACCGTCAGTGATGCAGTGAAGGCACTGGGCTCCTGGGAATCATGTAAAAAGCCGGCAGCCACTTATGGCACCGTTCACTTTTACAGTGTCTTAAAATAAGCCCATTATTTACAGGGTAATAGGAGGTGATGTCTCACTTTACAGTTAGTCACCAGGAGTGGGGAAATTGAATAATTTATCCTGAAGAGATTAGCTTGTTTTCAGGAGGGAAAATACCTGCCTTTCTAACTATTCTAGTACACGTAATATAGCAATGTGCATTTTAGATTCGTTCTGCCCCAAAATATTTCCCTCTCCACCCCTTCCTAACTCTGTTTTCAGGCCCGTTTTAGAAATATAAATTAACCTAGGATTGTCGTACTGGAACACAAGCAGTTCCAGTTTGTCCCCTAGGTTGCCTCTGCCCTACGTATCTGATGGTTTAGAGGCAGATGGTCAACTTCCAACAAGCACATAAAACAACACACCTGGTCATCAGTAATGCTTGATCTTGGTGTGTGGGAGAAGGGGGAGAATTGCCCCTTGTGGCCTATTCACCCGATATCTGGAGGTGGATGGACTGACATCCCTTGTGATGTACTTGCCCGAAGCCCAGCCCTGTTATCTGAGCTCCTTAGGAAGCAGATGCAGTGAGCTGGAAGTAGCAGGAAGAGGGACAGGGCTGTTAGGGGGCCTGAAGCAAGGACAGACGGAAGAGTTCATAGTTTTTTAAATCAGGGCTGGAAAAAAGGGGGCAGTGATGGAAGAAAGTGACGGGGGAAGGGGTCAAGCTGAACTTCATTATTCACTCCAGCAGCTTAACATCCTTTGGGCTTATACACCCAGCATTTCAAAGGGCATCTTCCCCCGTGCAGATGAGGAAGGCACTTAGCCATCTCGCTGGCAGATCTGTGTCCTCATTTAACTGTGGCAGACCATTATATATAATGCAGAGCAAAGGATAAAAATAGGGAGGCTGGATAGAGAGCCCTTTAAAAGCCGGTCCCAGGAGACATTACATCTTGAGGGAGCTGACTAGACAACGAGAGGTAGGTCAGAGGTTAGAAGTTCAGTGACTTGCCCTGGCTCACACAGAGAGGCCATGTCTGAGCTGGCATTAGAAGTCAGCAAGCTGTGGCTCCTAGTAGTTTGCAGCAAGGGATACACAGGGATGGAGTGGAGAGGAGAAACTGGGTGGAGGGAGCAGTGATGTATCAGTTTCATTCAGTAAACCAAAGTATAAAGGGATAATTTGACAGTGCTTGTGTATTCTGATTAGCTGAGGTGGAGCCTCCATTTTTAGAGTACATTGTTACAAAGAACACGTATGGTTTTGGGAGGATGTCTACGGACTAGAACACTGCGCCAGGACAATATCATCCCACTGCTAGAGACAAGCCTCGGGGAAAGCACAAGCATTTATCAACGCTAACCATCAAACCTAGTTAGACACGCTATTATCCAAACAATCTATTCCATTGACTAGCTCTCATATACACATCATTAATGGCGTTGGCCTAATGCAATCATGACAGTTGTTCACCTCAGCATTGTTGGACAGCTGCATTTGGTTGTCTTAGAGCTCAAGAGGCTGATTCATTGCTGCCTTTCACCTGGTGGAGTCACTTACACCTGCGCAAAGTGGCTGTAACATGCTACTATCGCAGAATTCTGTTCTCCCTCCAGCCAGTGGTAACATTTCAGAGCCAGCTTGCAAGGGAGTAAAAGACTTCACATCGTGGAAGGCACCAGAGAGTCAGGCCCCAGGTTTCTTTCAGCTCAGGTGTTGTGGGCTTCTGCCACTCTACTGGGGTTTCATGCAGGTTTCCAACAGCCAGGCATGTCTTATTTAATAGTGAAAGTTAAAGGGAAGCTGTTGCATCTCTATTTGAATAAGCAACACAAAAGCTCCTTTCAGCATCTAAATTTTTCCCCGTTTGCTTTTGGGGGCACCACTGCTGCTCCTTATTCAGATAATGGTAGGCACAGGTCAAATTCAGTGAAAATTTCTAGTGACCAATGGTGTAAGAAATGGCACTTAGTCTCACCAGTCTGATACTTTCCCATGATATGTGTTCAGTGGCAGATCCTGGGTTCTCCTGTGCAGCAATGTATGAATAAAAGACCAACTGGAATGTTTAATTCTACTAAGATCTGCTGTTTCCATACCCAAGCTGAGATGAGAATGGTTTATCTTGGTTGAATGCATGTATCTGTATAAATGTACATACTGTAAATAAGCTCTCCCCAGCTCTAGGAAGCTACGATACATGGCTATTTTTGTCAAGGGCCGTTGGTTAAAATAGAGACTAAGAGAGCAAAACTATAGTACTTTGGACACCTCACCAGCACCAAGATACAATTATGAATTAAACACAGCTAGAGTAGTGGGAGCGTTAATTTAATTTTCTAAAAATACTTGGGGTCTTGGGAAAAAAATCCAACACCACCCCCAAAATACTTAAACTTCATTTATATTAGATGGTTATCAGACATGAATGACTCTTTTTTTTTAAAAAAAATCTACCTCTAATCTTCTTTTCTGGTTCAGTAAATCAGGAGGCTTGGCAAAAACTTACTGCAATATAGTAATATATAAATTTTTTACATGTGGAGTTCCATTTCTGATCTAATCTTCTGTAGTGGGCCACATTCTGCTCCCACTAAAGTCAATGGGAGCAGGATTGGTCCCACTATATTTCTGCTGTTTGACATTATATGCTATGAAATATAAAACAGCAAACGCCTGTTTATAAAACTACAATTTAGCAAAGCACTACACGTGGTAACTAAGAGTCCAAGTTCCAGGAGTAACGAGGGATGTCCATATAGCCTTATCTGCAGCCTTTGGGATCTGTTGTACTGTCATCAGTCAAAAGATAAGACTACAAATTAAAAAAAACAACCCCAATTTTTATTTCAATTACTCTTCTAGGCAGGTGAATGACATTGAACGCATTTTTAGCTATTAGCAGCAAGAATGTCTAGTATGGGCATACCAGGCCTGAATCCCACTGCCTTCCACCTTTTGTAGTCACATGCATGCAGACTGGGTACAAAACACTACCCAATCAGAAATGGCCACTCACAGTGGGGGGTGGAACTTAATACTCACTTTGCACAAATTTAAATGACTGCACAAAGGGAGAATGGGCTCATGGTCCTTACCAGAGGCAGGGACACCTTGAATAGTCCAGTTTTTCCATGTAGCTTTTGAAAGACTTCCATCGACTAGTGTGGGGAGTTCAAGTTCACTTGACATAGGGCATGTCTTCAGCTTTAACGTGGCTGTGTAGTCACAGCCCAGCGCTGGGGGAGAGCTCTCCCAGTGCTAGAAAAAAACCGCCTCCACGAGGGACGTAGCTCCCAGCGCTGGGGCACCCTGGCGCTTTACAATGCGGAAACTTGCTGCGCTCAGGGGGGGTGTTTTTTCACACCCCAGAGTGAGAAACGTGCAGCGCTGTAAAGTGCCAGGGTAGACAAGCCCTTAGTCTTTGTGAGTTTGGGTCTGTACCTAGGGGGTTTCTCAGTTCTCGGTGAAAAGCAGTGATTTTTTGTCTCCCAGGTCAGTAGCTGTTATCATCTAGAGCCCGTTTGGTGGTCTGTGTAAAATAAGTCTCAGTCTTACTGGGTAGATACTCCAGCTCTAAACCAACCATCACCTTGGCCATTTTAGAGATGACAAGGACTGAATGGATCATGGAGACTGAACTCCCTTCAACTCTAGAGAGGATCCCTCCAGGGCAGGACTGGGGTGCACTGGCCGGGCAACGTCCAGGAGTTTGCTCTATCCAAACCTGTGCTACCTGCTCTGTGAATAGCCAGAAGGTTTCAGTTGCAAGAGCTATCAATCCAGCATCCTCCACTACTAAAAACGGAGGTAAGTTAGCTACTGTGTCATCCCATCAAGGCGATTCCCTGTTAACATCCATGGAATAGGATTTTTTTTTAAACGAATTAAGTGTGGGATTTTTTTAATGTATCTTCTAAATTTTGTGCATGCAATTGGATGAGTGTGATGTGTGTTCTCAGCCTAGAGGGAGAGAAAAGCAGTTTTCCTCATTCTCAGGCTTGATCTACACTTAAAACTTACATTGGCAGAGCTGTGTCGGTCAGGGGCATGAATGCTGACTAAACTCCCAGTGTAGCCACAGCTATGCCAACAGAAGAGTACTTCTGTGAGCACACGTAATGTTGTTTGGAGAGATAATGTTCTTACACTGGCAGAAAAACGCCTGTTGGTGTAGGTTGTGTCTACACTAAGGGGCTATGTCAACATTGCTATGCCAGCATAAGCTTTGTAGTGTAGAGTGGGCAATGTTATGGTTTTAAAGTTTGAGTCCTTGCCCAGCTGTCACTAACATTGGATTGGCTTCCCAAATGACTGTTTCAATGTCAGATGTGTAAGTGTTGTCGTGGCATGGAAAGCTAGTTTCTACGTTCTGATCTGAAGAGAGAGAGTGCAGTGCCTGAAATGGCTTTTCTTGGCAAAAGGTTTCACATGCTAAAGGGCCAAATTGTGCTCAGTTACACTACTGTAAGTCTCTATGGACCAGTTCTGGGTTTACTCTGGCATAACTGAGAGCAAAGTTGGCCCTACGATGTAAAAAGGTTTTGCTTTAACTTTAAAACCCTTACCATGAAGCAATGTTTTGGTTATACAAAACTTTTCAAAGGCTGTTTGTTCTCGTTCATTATTATTCAACAAAATTAACTCAGTTTTATAGGCCAAATTCATGCCTGATGTAACTCCTGAAGTCAATGGAATTATACCAGGAGCTATAATAATTCTGATGATTTAAAATAGTAATTACCTGTTATGTTTTCTTGTTCACAGCCAGTTGTCCCAACACACATCAAACCCAGTGAAGGTTTCAAAGGAGAAGGACTTCCGGATTGGACACAAATGACAACATACTCTTCAGAAAATACTATTTCCCAGACAGACTCTATTAGCTTCCCTAAAATAGACCTGACCTTTCCATTCATTCCTCAGAAAGGAACAGCTCATCTCACCTGTTTAATAAGATTTGTGCACATGCCAAGAGACATTTGCCATCAGTTTACCTGTGCAACCTCACTTAAGTCAGTGAGTTGTGCAGGTGTAAGTGATGGTAGAATTTTACCCTTATAGACCTGTTCAAGCCAATGACAAGACTCCCACTAGCTTCAAAAAGAAAAGGAGGACTTGAGGCACCTTAGAGACTAACAAATTTATTTGAGCATCAGCTTTTGTGAGCTACAGCTCACTTTATCGGATGCATGAAAGCTGATGCTCAAAGAAATTTGTTAGTCTCTAAGGTGCCACAAGTCCTCCTTTTCTTTTTGTGGATACAGACGAACACGGCTGCTACTCTGAAACCTGCCACTAGCTTCCGTGGATACAGATTCATACCCTAGCTTTGGAGAGGAAAACAGGTGTTAAAAGGAAACAGCTATAGGAGACAGACAGTGAATTCCAATGGGCACCTTTCACTGTGTGGAAATGATCATGGAGGATGCCACGTGTAATGAAAGTAGTGAATGGAACAGAGGCTAGTGTAGTCTGTGAAGCACACTTTCCTCACAGCAGAGAATGAAACAACACTGGACTTGGATGTGATGGGAGAGTGAATGAGGTGGGTGGGATGGAGCGTGGGAGCTCACCTCAAAGGCAGGAGGGGTGTACGACTAAAGCTGTTGGTACGGGAACTGAGAAAGGCCACTAGATCAGAAACCAAAGGAGCCAGATAGTAAAAAGCCCTGAGGAAGCAAACTGTAAGCAGGAGAAAAAAGAGAAACGAAAACACAATGGAGTTACAATAGGAGAAAGGTTGCATGGGAGAGGTTTCTACTGGTCAGGTTGGATAGTCAGTGCAGTCATCATTTTACGCATTCTGTAACAAGCTACAACAAATCAGGGATTGAGCAATCTCTGTCTCTCTGCCTTGGTCCTTGTCTCTCCTTCCATTTGTTTGTATCTTTTTTCACACATCCCTCCCTCCATATTATTTGTCCAAATTAATAACTACTGTCTCTTATTTCTCTCAAGCGATCTCTGGCTTTGTGTGACTTTGGTACTAGTGGCTCCCAAATTGGAAGAACCCAGGTTAGCCATTTTACCTATAATTTGGAGTGGGACTGAGCTTTCACCTTTCCATCTAGCTAGATTTTCTGATGGAAAAGAAAGCATTTACATCTGTGTCCTGAAATGGTAGACCCCAAATGATCAGTAATGGCTTCCTTGCCTCTGTTCCCTATCTGAAAAGGAGGCACAGAAGACTGACTGAAGTTTTTAGAAGATTTAGTCCTGCTACACGTGTCTTCAGTCAGCATGTTGTTCAGATAGTAATCTGATCTGAGATGGTCAATGTCTCTGACCTATGGACATAGGAAATCTAGAGTAAGGAACCTTTGTCCCTGTACAGCAAAACTTTTCCATATCCACATCCCAGAGGCCAAGCCAGGTCACAGCTGTTAGAAAGAAGGACTGAGTTTTGAAAAAGAGGTGTACCTGTCACCAGGGTTATGGGCAGCTGTGAAATTAGAGTTGGTTCCTTTAGTTGTTCTATCCCCATATTAAATAGTTGTTTCTTTATAGTATACTGTAACAGCCACTGTCTGCAAGGGTCCAAGTCCAGAGATCACTCCCCTGTTTTAACCCTGGGGCTCTCAGGGACTTGTGCCCTTCACATTAGTGTTTTATTACTTGAGAAACAACAACTTTTGTATTCCAGATATATTCCAGCTTTAAGTGTGACATGAGCGTACAGACAAGAATGAGTCAGCCTGTGGAACTTTCACTTCGTCAACCAGTATACCCCCTCACCTTGAGCCAATGATCTGTAAGTGCTTCCACCAATGCTTTGTACTGATGTTGGGCATCACCTACCTGCCATGCCTCAAGCTGCTGCGAGAGGTTCAGTTTCTGTTGAATAGCATCCAGCAGCTGACTGTTCAGAGACATCATGTCGATCTTGCACTTGGCTAGTTCCATTTCCACTGCATTCTTCCTGGGGGAAAAAAGAGAGACATGGACAATCTCAGAGCACAATTCAATTTTATCTAAATCAATTCCTGCAGGTCTTCAGAACCACCTCACCAGTTTTCACTGATTTCCATTCAGCACATTCAACAAAATCAGGATATGGAACCTGGCATCAGATCTGCCAAAGGACTCTGAATATTCAGTGGGTGACTAGCTCCAGCTTCTACTGGGACAATGAAAAGGAGATGGATCCTGTAGAAGGGACCAGTTCAGTAAGCCACCAGGTGAGCAGAGCCCTTATCATATGGAGAATACTTCTCTGTAGAGGGGGAATGGAAAGTGGGACATACTCTGATAAATTGTTGTGTAGGCGTCCAGTGTTAAGACCCTGGCCCAAACAGTTTATACTTGTAAGTCTTTATTCAACCATTTCCTGTGTCTCATATGCCCAAGAAACAATATAAACTGGTAGGGAATATCCTGGCTGCTAATTTTAGATGCAAGTTTGTTCTGATATTTGTATCAACCACATCTGATTCATCCGCTACCCTGGAATAACAACTTTCCCCTGCTTTTCTGCAGAAGAGTGGTCTGGGAATTAGTTTTTATGTTATAGGCAGAGTTGGTAGCACCACCTATACTTAACGACGCTCAACACCTCCCATTAAAACACGGTTCTCAGTTGCTTATAACTTTGCCAAATTAACTGTTCAGTCTGAAATTTTCCATGCTGGGTGTCTGCCTGAGGCTGAATTGTTTTAGAAAGTTTCAGCAAAAATGGCCTGAGATAAGAGGGAAATACACTTTGTCCATGTTAATAATAATCTTCCAACTGCTCCACTGAGATGGTCCAATACCTCCAGCCTTTGGAGCAGGGTTTTGAAGTTTGGCAGGGGATGTTACCCTGGTGCTTGGGATGTGCCTTTTGCTGTTTTTTATATCTGTATGTGCAAGCACAAACACTCTCACCTAAAGCACCATCCCACCCTTCCCTTGTCTGCAATCAATCAGCCACAGTCACTGTACACCCTCTCTCCAGTAATATCTCTCACACCCAGTTCCACACACCATAAATATTAATGGCTTGTCCCACGTGAACTACTAGGGTCACCTGAACAGCAAAAAATCTGCAGACCTCCAGTGAAAGGCCCCAGGTCTGAGTGTTTCAGAAAAATATGCTTCTATTGTAAAACAGCCCATCACTGCTAGATATTAACAGTAGAATTTATGCATCCCCCAAGTGGCATAGTTGCCATAGAGACAGCAGAACTGGCAACCCATACTGCTATTAAATGTCAAAGCAAGCCTTTTGCACCAATCAGCAGTAGGGATATTCCCTACTTCTGCCAACAGATGGAGCTGTTACAATGGCATTCTGAAGGGATTTGGTATCCTTTGGGACACTGTAAAAAACACTTGACAGATCGTATAATTTAAAAAACAAAATGAGCCATTCTGTATGCTTGCTTATCTCCCCTCCCTCCTCATATACACGCATGTTTTTGTGTGCTTTTCTCCTCTTGCCAACCCAGCAAGGATTGGGCATTGCTGTAAGGAAGTGGGCTGCATTGTGTTCCGTCTTGTCTCATTTCACCGGAGGTTAGAGAGTCTCCTCTAATCTAGAATAAGCAGAATACAAGTGCTTTTGCCCTTCTTTCCCTTCCTCCAGAGCCTGGTGTTCTGAACTTCATGTTCCTCCCTCAGGCTGCCTAAAACTGAGCCAGCAAAGATGGGGAGGGAAGGGGCAGACTAGGGAGGTAAAAAAATGAAAAAATGTGGCATAAAAAACGGGATCGAAGTCATGGGAGGGGAAGGACAGCAGGATGCACTAACAGGGTTGCACGGAGAAAGTAAAGCAGGAGAAAGGGAGAGCAGAGAGGAGGTGGAGCACAGAGGCTAAGGGCAGAGGAACAGGATAGAGGAGAAGCATAATTAAAGGACCAGAGGATTGCAGTAACAGAGATTCACAGAGGCACCAGAGCAAAATGGAAGAGGGGGGCTGGAAGAGCTATGGAACAGGTTAGAGAAGGTGCAGTAGCAGAGTTACACAGAGGAATTGGAAGGGAGGCTGGAAGAGCAAAAGAGAATAGGAGGAGGAGGTAGGGACCAGTTCCAATATTTGTATTCCCTTCCCAAATGGGGCAATAGCCATCTCTTGGCTTGATGAAAAGATCTGTCCCCCAAACTTGATAAAAATAGAATTTATGGAGTTTCTTTTAAATGAGAGCAGAACTTCTGGTTCCAGGAACTTCCCGGGATCAGAACCCCGGTCACAGGCACTTAGCAGGACTCCTCAGCACTCAGAAGTGGGAAGATCTACCACTTTACTGGCAGCAGCCTGGCAACAAAGCTGCCCCCAAAGTGTCTCCTTTGAACAAACAGGTGGGTAAATTCTGAGACCACAACCCAAACTCTTCTCTGTTCTTCGATAGAATTCTAGTTACTTGGCAATGGCTTCATCTCGATCCCTGATGGCCTTCAGAAGCCGTTCGTTTGTCTCCTTATCTTCAGCTGACCCTCGAAGCCTGTCCCTTTCCTCTCTCAGTGCAGTCATCTCCACACTCAGCAGCATCACCTGTCAGGAACAGGAAGAGCACTGTCAAACATTTCTCCTCTCAGGGTAATAATTAGTATGGGTGGAAGGCGCCCAACTGGCATCCTTGAAGAGAGAAGTCCTCTCATCACACAGCAGTTAGCATGAGCAGTAACTGGCCTCTACTAGACATGTGCCTCAGCTCTGATCTGAATGAACCACCTTGTAAGGGTGAGAGTTTCCAGTCTCCGGGCCCATCAAACCTTTGCCTTTACAGAGGCTGCCAACAATGGTCATAACTGAAGTGGTGGCTCCTACCTGAAAGGCCTATGCGTTGCCAACTCACTTGACATGGGCCACCAAACGCCATCAGATGGCAATGACTCCACCCCATTACATTTAATGGTCACCATGGATAATGTTAGAGGCCATTGCTCCACTGCAGCCCCTATGATCCACCATAAAGAAGATGGGTTGTGATCCCGCTATCTCAGCTGCATTGCAGCCACTGAAGGTTCACTGTCGAAATGTTACTTCCTCACCAAGGGACTCCTCTATTGATCCAACATCCTTTCAGCCTGCACTCTAGTCTCTGACCTTTCCTTGACATCACTTGGGTTCATATATTTTCAAGTGTCCCCCACCCCTCCGCAAGAAGATTAAAAAAATAATAAAATTTTTTTTTCCTGACTGTCTTTTCTTTAGAAGCAGTGAGCAGTTAAAAACAAACCTATACAAGAGTGATGATGCGAAAAAGGCCACTCAGCTCTAAGGAAGGAGTTACTGGCACTCATCAGAATTTTAATTAGACTTTAAAATACATGTAAAATATTTAATAATCTGAGAATCTATTTACCCTTTAGTCCAGTCCAAAGTGAATTAATAGTGTATGAAATCACGAGGGACTCGCTCTATCGCAGCTCTGCAATCTTCCATAGGCATTTAGTTTCTTGGTCTGCTGTATGCAGGAGTTCCATTACCAACGTACTGCACCAACACCTTGGAAATCTTCCTGAGATGCAACAAACTACCCTTCTCTAAACCTCACTGGTGGTGGGAAGACAGCTAAGAAGTTATCCACCACATCGATACTTACTTTTCCACTGTCACTGGATCTGCCATGGATCTGCTTCTGGGTATGGACAGATTGTGGGAGATGAATGTACACAGAGAAACTGCTTCTGAAGATGGAGTTGTGATGACAGGTGAAAATACAGTACTGGCTGGCAAGTCTTTCTGGGAGGCTGAAGGAGGGGGTGAGATATGTTCACTAGGCTGAAGTCCTACACAGTGTTGGACTCTCCATGTCCCAGTAAAGAATACAGAACCACAGGGCTGGAAGGGCTGGTAGGGCTGGTGGGGCTGGAAGGGATCTCAAGGGGTCATCTAGTCCACCCCGTGTGCTGAGGCAGAACCAAGTAAACATCCCTGAGAGTTGTTTGTTTGACCTGTTCTTAAAAATTTCCAGTGGTGGGGATTTCACAACCTCCCATGGAAGACTATTCCTGAGCTTAACTACCCTTATAGTTAGATTTTTTTCCTCATATCTAACCTAAATCTCCCGGGCTGCAGATTAAGCTGATTACTTCTTGTCCTACCTATCATTTTTGTTGCTATCCTGTGGACTCTCCTCCATTTTATCCACATCTGTCTTAAAGTGTGGCACTCAGAACTGGACACAGTACTCCAGCTGAGGCCTCACCAATGCTGAGCAGAATGTGACAATTACCTCTCCAGCTTTGACAGATGAGGTAGTGGGTTGTAATGGAATTAACTGTGAGAAGCTACCCAATACTTTGTCTGAAGTATTGCTGGGAGCACCTCTTTCATCCCTAGGAAAGGCTCTGGCTTTAACTTGAATCTTCTCCGTGTTAGCATATTCCTAAGAACGAAAGAGCGGTTCCCTGTGAGATTGCCACACAAGCACTAGGGAACCCTTCAAAGATATGTCTGTGTATTAACCATTCATACAGTGGGAAAGTTCCTCATTTGTGTTTGTTCAACTGGCCCTGATTGGGAAAGCCACCATGCTTATTCCCAGGAAGGGGAGGGCTATACAGTCCCAATACAGTACCTTCCTCCAAGGGGCAGTGGTCAGAGGTTCTAAATGAGCTGTAAGACATTGCATTAGTGTTTTTTCCCCCCTAGGAGAGGAACACAGTTCAGAGCAGGAGGCTGGGGAGCCCACACTATTTCATCCATCTAAAGCAGATGAGCTTCCAAGCAGAGGTTGGAACAGACTTTCAGCATGGGACAGTCTATAAGAATTGACCGGTTCCTTTGTTCACAGATTGCACTGCATGGCAAGCCCTGTAAATATGCCTGTTATACATATCCAGAGGTGTGTTAGAAGGCACTGTCCCTGTAATGATATCGGTAGCTGTGGATGTACAGAGGGGTGTACAGGAGAAAACACACCACTTGGTGGGAGTAGAATGGAGAAGTCATTCACCTGCTCAGCAATTTTCTTTAGCATTAAACAAAGATTTTCTGATTGTTTCTCCCACGTGGTTACTTACCCTATGGAAACTGTGGTGCTTTGAGCAGTCAGCGCGGACCCACTGTAGATGTGCATGGGCCTGATCAGTGAGAGAGTGGGTTTATTTTGGAATAGCAGTGTTCACTGGGCAGCATATTCACTCTATGCTGCCTCATGCTCCCATATCGGGGCATAAAGAGTGGGGTGGCTGTGACCCCACTCAGTTCCTGTGTTGCTGAGGAATCTGAAAAGTGGTAACAGAGGATGGGTTGCGGGACTTGCACTGACAACAACAGCATCCTGAAGAACCACAGTTACTAGGGAATGGTGAGTCTTTCTTCTTCAAGGTTGTCAGCGTGGATCCCACTGTAGGTGACTGGCCACTAGTACCTTCCCTGAATGGTGGGAGTGAGGGGTCTCAGCTGTATCGGTCAAACAGTGATTGAAGTACCACTCCCTGAATTTGGCATCAGGCAGCCTTATCAAGTGCATGAAGTCTGTGGGTTGCTCTGTGTAGCCTTATAGATTTTGGAGATCACCATGTTCCTGATGCAGGTGGAAGATGCCGGCTGTACTCTGCAGAAGTGTGCTTTGATGTCTGGAGGGAGATGCTTGCCAGCCATTTGCTAGCAGGTGGATCCTGTGTGATGAGATAGCTTAGTCTTTTGATGTGCTGGATATGGCCTGAAAGCCTTGCTTCTGATGAGGTAATAGAACAAAGCACTAGAGAGGTCTAAGTAGGCGCTTCCTTTCTCCTGGCGCTGAAGGGGGCTTTGGGAAGAAGGCTAGTCAAGCAATCCATTGGTTTAGGTGGAATTCTGAGACCACTGTAGGGATGAACTTGGGATATAGTATCAGTACCACCGTGTCCCTATGGAAGGGTGTGTAAGGCAGTCTGGCCATAAGGGCTCGGAGTTCATTAACTCTCTGTGGTGAGAAAATGGCCACAAGAGAGAAGACAGGCTTGATGTTAAGGTGGTGTACAGAGCATTCTGATAGTGATTCAAAGGGGGTATCCACAAGCTTTAGAAGGATGGCATTGAGGTCCCAGATGGGAGTTGGGTCTTTGACTGGAAGGCAAGCCCTGCAAGGGAGGCCTTTGAGGAATTTTGATACTGTAGGGCATGCGAAGACCAGCTATGAGTGTACTGGAGTGCGACAAGCAGATATTGCAGCAAAATGAGAGTTGAATCCTAACCCTGCATGATCTTGGATATTATTCAGGTGATCAAGTCATGCCGAGACCACGTGCCTTGCATCTGCCAGTGGTTCAGGTAGGTGCCCCAGCCTGTCCTTAATGCGTCCGTGATAAGCATTATCATGAGGGAAAGGACAGAAAACAGCACCCCTTTATGTTCACTTAGTCTAGCCACCAATAGAACTCTTGCATGACCCAAGGCACTAAACAGCTTCCTGTGATGTCTGGACAGGAAGTATACAGATGTCAGCCACAACTGTAAGGGCCATAGGTGAAGTCTGGCAAGTGGCACGTACATGGACACTGACATGTAATCTAAAAGTCTCAGACATGTATGCACTGTCTGAGGTAGGCTCTTGCCAACCTGGAGTCAATTAAAGCTCCTCTGAACTCATCTGCAGTGGCATGAGAAACAATGTCTCATAGTTCACAAGGAGCCCCATTTAAGAGAATAGGGAAAGGAGGTATTCCAAGACTTAGAAATCTCATGTTGGAACGTGCTTCAGCCAGTCGTCCAGGTACGGGTGGACATGGATTCCCTACCTCCTTAAATGCTCTTCCACCACTGCTAGGCATTTGGCTAATATTCCTGGTGTTGTGGAGAGTCCAAAGGGCAGAACCTTGCATTTGTAATGGTTGGGCCCCACTGTGAATCTTAGGTACTTCCACAAAGCCATACATCTGACCCACAAGAAGTACGCATCCTACAAGTTGAGAGCCATGAACTGGTCTTAAGCACAGAATGACAGAATGATGGAAGTATGCTGAACCAAAGACAACATATGTATTTGTTCAGTTTCCTCAGATCTAGGATAGACCAAGACCCCCTTTCTTTTTCAGAATGAGGAAATACTGGGAGTAGAAGCCCCTTGTCTTGAGATCCTGCTTCATCTCGGAGCCACAAAGGAAAGAGGCCACTTCTGTTAGTAGCTGGCTCTCATGAGAAGGATCCCTGAAGAGCGCGGCAGAGGGCAAAGAGTGGAACTCAATGGGGTGACTATGGGACAAGTGTCTTGATCTCCAAAGTCTCGGCAGGCCTCACAAGGAACTTCTGGAATGTTTTAAAGTCAGCCTTTGCTGATGCCATTGCCGTTGGATACCACTGCATCTAGCAGCGAAGGGTGGAGACCATTTAGTGGTGAGATGAGGCACGGACATGGCTCAGCCCTGGATCTAGCCCTTCCCAGTATTCAGGCATCAGTGGTCTGGCTGGGGATGCTGCTGGGAAGAGAGATCTCTTCCTTTTCCTCAGTTTGGGAAGGCTTTGAAGAAGTGTTTAGATTGAGCTGCAACTTAGTGGGTTGGATACTTGCCGGGTTCTGTCTTGCTGCCACAGCCAGTAAGAGGGAACCAAGACAGGGTTGCAGCCATCCCACCTTTATGCTCTCGGATGAGGCAGCACAGGGTGCATACATGGCTCCTGCCACTCCAGTTCCAATCTCGCATGTGCACACCTACAGAGGGATCCACACTGAGACATACTTGAAGAACATTGGGTTAGCAAAGATTGACTCATACAGGGCTCTGAAAGGTGTTGCCAACAGGTCTTCTCAGGATATGACTAGACGACCTCTTCCACATAAGCAGAGCGCCCTGTGGGAATGTGCCACAATCCTGTCTTACAAAGCAACATGCATTTTAGAAGGTCCAGGGAATCTGCATGGATTGCTCACCTGGCTGTGAAGTCTCTGCAGCTCCTCCAGGCTCTGCCTCAGCTTCCCTCTTTCTCCCTCCATTAACTCCCTCAGGGCTCTTGAGTCCTCACTTGTTTGCCTGATCTGTTCTTCTAAGGCATCATCATCACTTCTCCGAGAACTCTGGCAAAAAGAGAGAAACATCTTGCTGAGCTTTCATTTAGAAGTTACAGTTTGCATTAGTTTTGTACTGATTTGGAGACAGCTCTAAGAGAGTAAAAGGAAGTGGGAACGTCACTCTGCAAGAGCTCTGATGTTACAGTACATGTTCACATATATTTATACAGTGTCCAGAGGGCTCACAATGCAAGCAGTCACAAACACATCAACTACGATGAACACACACACAGCCCCTAAGCCTGGGCAGAAAGAACACACACAGGTGACTTACCTTAGCACAAAGATATACAGACATGCTCCCCACTTTGTAATCCTCTGCCCTTATCTCTGAGTACAACCCAGCTCCGATATTTACCTCTTCATACACTTATTCCTAACCAGGTTTCTATGTTTAGGCCTTTATATGTTATCTCCATTCTCCCTTGAACAAATACAATCTTGTATTCTTGCTCAACCTTTTATGATTCAATCACAACTCCTACAGGCATTGAAACTGGTTGGGTCAGGGTTCCCATTCATGTCTGAGGTTTGCAAGTACACATAGCCTCCTGGCTTATTTCTGGATGTGCCACTCCAGAATGGAGCTGCCTTCAGGTTGGCTATTTCCTTGTGGGGAACGCACAAGTCTCGAGGATGAAGCAAATGGAGGGCCAAGATGTGATTTTTGAGTCTTTCTGAAAGGCTACACATTTCCCCCCTATTTTACTCTGTCATGGAGGTTGTCCCAGTCCTCCAAAGAGAGGATCTGCAGATCTCCTCCAGCATGATTCCATTCAATCACCTATTACGTTAAGTTTCTGAGTTCTGCTTCCATCCTCAGTACTCCAAGGCAAACAGTAGGTGCTATTCTGCTGTAGAACATTCCCTCTTCCAGGCATAGGGGCCACCTCTGATGGCTTATCAGAGGAGTGTTTGTGTCTATACTCTATAGGGACCCCAATTCTCATGATAACTCTTACCTTGATTTTCACTCACTGATCTCTTTATATCATTGCAGTTTAAAACAGGGTTGGGAGACTTTAATCAGAAATGAAGGCGAAAGAACCAAAATACCATGAGAAACTTTGCAATATATTCAAGCTGGCTGAAACTAACACTAACTAGAACTCTTGCAGGAAACCCTGATCTCATAAGTTTTCCAGAATGATTTCTAGACTAGAGAGATTTGGATGAGTATCTGAACAGAACCTTGATACCTTTTGAGGTCATAAGCTTAAATCCCTTGGGTTGGCATGTCTAAATCCTGGCCTACTTGTGATATGTGAGATTGCTGGAAATGAGTTGTGTACCCTGATGTCCCATCTTCAAGGCCACAAAAGAATTCTGAAAGCCCACAGAATTAAAGATCTAAAATAACCCAGACTCTTCCTTGCCTAGCATCAACACTGACACCAAAAATCCTTCTCTGTGTCCAAATACCTACCGGGGAGTCTGTGCCATCCAGAACACTTTGTATGAGCCTCTTCAGCTCATTGAGACCGGCACGTAGGCTGCCAGCGGGGACATCTTTGGCTGATGAGGTTTCTGAAGACTCATCCATGGAGGAGTCTGTGGAGACTGCAGAGTCTGCGCTGTCATTTCCTCTGAGATGAGAGCAGAGATACCTGACTTGGCAGTAGGCCTCCCAGAGCTGCAGTCTCAGCTGGAACAAGACAGCATTATATTAGTCCATGGCTTTAGAGACCCATGAGATTCTATTGTTTGTAGACCTCCAGAATGTGACGATGCCCCATTAGCTAGAAAAGTCCTTCGATGCACCCTATCCTAGATGTAATATTAATGAAAAACAACAAGTATTTATCTAGTGCTTTTCATCTAAAGGTCTTGAAGTATCATTACCTGCATTGCATATATAGGGAAACTGACACAGAGAGGTTACTTGGTTTGCCTAATGATACATGGTGAGTCAGCATAAGAGATTGAGACAAAACCCAGATTTCCTGACTTACAGCCCAGTGCCATGTCCACTGGATCACATTGTCTCCTTGAACAGCCAGGTTTTGTGCAGCCCTTGCTCTTTTCATCTGTGTGCATGCGCACATGGATTTTAAATGTACTTTACAATATGTGTTAATAGTGCAGCCCTTTCGCTCTCTCCTAACTGGTGTGGTTCTGTACCCCTAGGTAAGTTCACAGAAGCATATGCACGTGTATTAATGCACTGCTTTATCAGATGCAAAAAAAAGTGTTGGATGACTACAATGTGGTTTGCAATAGGCTGTGACTGTGGGTTTCTTAACTGATATCAATAGCAGCTTTGCGGAATGTGGTGTGTGATTGCCGTTTGCACTAGTCTGCCATGCTTTCCAGCTACTAGCCATGAACATGTTTACACGTGTGTTCATATGGGCACATTTACAAAGGTTCATATGCTTCCCCAGTGTGCAAGGATGATCATACCTGTTCTCTCTCTTGTTCCAGCTCTTCTGCCTCCATGCTCTGCTCAATCTCAGATAGCAGGGATGTGCTGGTTGTGTTGAAACTTTGGAGACTTCTCTCCTCGCTAAGCTCTTCTACCTTTCCCTGGAGCTGCCGACAGGACAGTCGCACCTCCTGGAGCTCCAGCTGACTTTGATGCAGCTTCCAAAGGAAATCAAAGGAAAAAACAAAACTAGTGAATATGACTGAGGACTAGATGAATCTCTCAGCTCGTGAAGGACCTTGGTGGGAGCCCTGAAAAGACGGGCTTTTGTGGGAGGAAAAGACGCATATGGGAGGAACGGTCTTTGCTGGCTTGTCTAATTTCTAAAATTTAATAGTCTAAGACATTATTACCAAAACTTTACTCTCAGCTAGAACTAGACATGGGCTGGGAACTAAAATATGCTGAAGACTCAAAATCACCAGGTTAGTTAAGGCTAAGACGTATTATGAAGAATTCCAGAAGGAGTTAAGGAAAAACTAGGTAATTAGACAACATAGCAACAACTGAATTAAAAAAAAAATCACGCAACCATTTGTATTTCAAAGAGATATAGTTAAACCTTGGTCATTCAAACCCCAATTAACCAAGATTCACATATCCATCGCATCTAAAATTCACAGAGATACATTTCACTAATTTGAAACTCCAGTTATCTGAATGTTTCAGTTATCCCTCAAGGCATTTAAATCAGGGCATATCTGTAGTGAGAGGGTACACAACTGAGTAAACAATTAGTTACCAATATATTGTCACATATATTTTTGTAAGTGATATAAACAGAAAGTAACACAAATATATTAGGTCTCTTGTTACACAGCTGGTACAAAGTCAAAGCAGTAAACCCCAGTATTGGGTGTAATCACTTTCTACACAAATAACAGGCAGACAGAAATTCCATGGACACAAGTGCATGGGAGGTAATGTACATTAAAAGGAACAGTTTAATCCATCTGTTTACACTGACAGGTTCTGAATTAGTGATACCTAGATCTTTTTCCTTAGAGGCTATCATTATGGATGGCTTAGTGTACCGCGGTGTTCAAAAAAGCAAAGATGCTATCCTGTACTAAGTAGGGGATAGAGCGAAGTATGAAAAAAATACTATGTTACAATGATGGTAAGTAGTCACCTTGCATACCTCATTCTGCAATGGTTCCCTCATCTTAAGAAAGACAGCAGAAAAGCTCCAGTGGAGGACAACAAAATTAGTTAGAGGCATAATGTGGTGGGGGCAGGGTCCAGATGTGGCAAGATGAAAAAACACTAGGAGTAGTAGTTTGGAAAGGAGAAGAGTTCTGATAGGGAATATTTTTATAAATACTGTATACTACAAAAAAGCAGTTGGGAGCTCCTATTTAATGCTCTCCCATCACATGAGAACTAGAGGGCACTTGCTGAAATTAAAAAGGGGAAAAATAAATGAATAAAGGAAATATTTTAATGCAATGTATAATTAGTCCATGAAACTTACTTGTGCAAATTGAGGCACATAGCTTAGTAAATTTCAAAATCTGATGAGACTTTTATCTATGAATAAATTATATTAATTCGAATAAAATTATAGAGGCTGGTGAAATGGACAGCTCAGGGTGTTAGGAATGGCAGAAAGAGTCTTTCACCTCTAGGTCACCAGTTCAAATCCACACCAGGCTGATAGCAGATTATTGAGCAGTGCTCAGATTGTAATGACTTTCATCTGCATAAAATGAATTGGTGGGTCTCAGTTCAGTTCCCAGTGGATGGGTGTCCAAATCACAAACCCACTATCACAGCTCAAATTAACTGGCCCCCAAAATGTCAGTCTCACATCAGAGAGGCCAGGGACCGAATGGGTCAGTGGAGACTGAACTCCCTGGATGGAGTTCCTCCAAGCCCAGACTGAAGAACAGTGGTAGGGCAGAGTGAGAAACTTTCAGTTTCCAGGACTGTTGACCCTGAGTTCAGGAAGAAATTATTTCCCTCATCTACTATGGTAGAACAGGATTCTAGTTAGGTGCATTATAGAGGATTTTGTACTTCCTGCTGAAGGAGCAGCCAAGGTCCAACAGAAAATACCAGGCTAGATGGACTATCAGTCTGTTTGTGTAGCAGTTCCTATATTCTTATATTCCACAGACTGGCAGAGAATACGGGGAGCTAATTGCCAAAGAATAAAAAAGCCGGTATAGCCACAAACCTTCAGTGGGTAGGGTGAATTGAGAAAAGAAACCATAAAATATCACTCACCACCCAGAAACAGGGCCTATAACACTGACATAGCAACTTGTTCAACATCGTTCCACGAGTAATGTTTACTAAGAGATGCTGAGAACTCCATAGGCATGTTTTGCGCACCTTTTGAATAGTGACAGATCTGAGGCTGGCTACCATCCTCTGGACCTCTGCCCAAAATAATCATAAGAGGATCTTACTGGAGTCAGTCCCAGTAAGAAATCAGCAGAAATGTAACCAGGTTCCTCAACCTCCATATCCTCCACTGAAGTACCTGTTTTCCTTGGTTAAATGTTCTCATTCCTTGTTCTAATAGTTCATTTTTTCTTCCTTTAGTCTCCTCTGTGAGAGTTCCCATTCTCTGCAGGTCATATCTAGGTGTTAGCCACTCTGTTGTTCCTCTGTGATCATAAGAGTCATTTTACTCTTCCCTTTGGTCTCTTATCTCCAAATTCCCATTCTCTTAACTGTAGGTCCTATCCCAGAACCCCTCCTTTATCCCTTCTTAGCTTTCAGAGTTCCATTTTCTCTTTCATTTGAGCATCTCTCTCCAGCTCCTGTTCTCCTCACCTGAAGATCCTTATCATGGCTTTGTCTTTCCAGGACCAGCACTCGCTCCTGCAGTTCCTCCACGGTTCCCTGAAGCAGATCGTTTTCCTCCATCATGGCACTAAGGCGACATTCCAGCTCCCGCTTCCTATCGGTAAGCATCTTAATCTGAAAGGGAAAGAGAGCTCGAGTTGTGCTCCAGGCTTTGGGATTTTTCTTTTTTCCACCATGTGGTAAGAGAAAAGCAGCAGGAACCAGAGTCTGTCTGTGTCTGCACCTGTATGAGAGAGATGGTGCCTCTTTATGCAACTCAGAGCTTAGGAAGAGGCTGAAAGAAAACACCTCCCACCAGAAAACTCTGTGGAGCAGAGTGGGAGTGCAGCTCCTGAGACGCTGGAATGTGCGTTGCCAGGCAAACATAGAGGGAGGGAAGGGGAGAAAAGAAACCACTGTGTACCTTGGAATTTCCTAAGAGCTACAGTAAAACATGACCCTGCCCTACCCACCCTCCTAAGGATTAACCCAGACTATAAAATTTGCAAGAATGTGAAAAGCTAGTTACTCAGCCCAGCTTTATTACGATTCTGTTCCTGGTGTGAGCAAATGTTGGAGTTCCCAGGAAGGGAACCCTCACCCTCCTGCATTTCTACATGGCCACTTACTGGAATCCCCAGGAGAGGTAGGGGTTTGCGTGTGTGTGTTTGTGTTTCTCGCTATGCCCTTTGTGGGTGGTAGGGATTGTGTACCTTGTTCTTTGCTGTATGTTTGGTTTGATGATTTCTCACCACAATATAATTTTATGCTTTAAAAAACAGACTGATGGTTTTGTGCAACAATTACTGATATCCCCCCAACAATTACTTGGTTTAAAACAGATTCATGCCTTTCAGTTGTCCAGTGTCCCTCATCACCTGTGCTTGCTGCAATGTGCCCAGTCCATTCACTTAGCAAGAAGCTGCATATAGGATGAATCAGCACTAATAAAGGCCACCGTTTGTTTAACGAGGAAAGAGAATACATTTTCCCATCAAGCTGTCTATCCAGGTTCTTCTGCAGTGCCCACCACCATGATACCTGAGTGCTGGGGATATGTTTTGTACGCTGTCCAATGCCATCAGCTGTTCTTTAGCTATGCTCACAGATCTTTGATGATCCCAGTACTTCCTGGTCAGTTCCTACACCATCTCAGATGGCTTGGTCCAGCAACTCATGTTCCCTAGGCCTATCTGATACCCACTCTGTTAGCTGCTCCCCAGTAGTATCCCAGGTCCTTTCAGACCTCTCTGATAGCTTGAGGAATATTCACAAAGGTCTCTTCAAATCTCCTTTGCAGCTCCTTGATTAACCTGTTGGTTCTCTCCAGGTTGCCCTCCCGCCTGTTCTGGATGCACTCCTAGCCCCCATTAGCACATACCCTAGATGCCTTAAACCGTCTCGGATATTCGTCTAGCCGTTCTATGGTTGCCTTCTAGACTCTCCTCTAATCCCCTCTGCCTTACTGTTCTCTAGGTCTTCTCCAATACACCCATGTTAGTTGCTAACTGTCCTCCAGGCTGGCTCTGATATTCTTCCATCTGGCTGCCTTCCAGGCCCTATGTTTATGGTTATGTACCTAGTGTACAGATGGTGCCTGGACACAGATTAAGTAGACAGTCAGCTGTCCTGGATAAATGAGGAATGCTGTATTCGTCCAGGGGAGTCAAGTGTTTGGAAAGATGAAGGAATGTTGTGTCAATTTTGTATATCTGCATTTCTCTATTTATAGAACACCTCCTGTACATATTAGGACATTATTCTTATATGAGTAATGATTGCTGAGAAGACTCTTCCCCTACAAGCTTGACTTCAATGTAATGGAAAGAAGGGATGCAACAGAGATAAACACAGAACAAACAGAAGGACTGCATTTTACATTAGTACTTGTTATAAAACTCAGTAATGAACACCCTGTGAATAACTGTAAAAAAACCCACAACTGTCCTGCAGGCCTTGGGCCAAGGTAAGGGGGGGGGGTGGAAATGGGTTGAAAGCACAAGACAGGAAGGACCTTAACAGGTGGGGCATGCACAGTGATGGTAACAGACATGCATTCAAAACTCAATCAAAGCATCTGTACTTACTTCAAGGACCTGCTGCTCCATACCAAGGGGAAGAGGACAGGAAGGGAAAAGGAAAAGAGCGGGTAGGGAGGGGAAGAGAAGCAGAAATTTAGGAAAAACTCTTCTAATCAGTTAAAAAGTAGTAGGATTGTACAATAGGGTTTTCCCCCACTGCTCCAGGTTCTTCATATTCAAATCTCCCATCCTCCCCAAATCACAGAAGGAAAAGGAAACAAACAACATACTGGCCAAGATATCCAGAGCAAAAATAAGAATAAAAGAATAAAAATAAGAATAAAAGGCCTCATGTTTCCACACACATCTCAAATGCAGGAGAGGATTTCTGCTTTCTTCTCAGCCATTCAGAACAGCACCCTCCTCAGAAGTGGAGTGTGTGTTTGGATGTGGCCTACTGGAACGTACCCACATTTTATCTCTAAAAGATCCCTCTCATCATCTCCCCTGCTTTACATCTTCCGGACAGGATTATCCTTTAGACAGGGGCTAAAACAAACTGAAACAGGATGGGGCGCTTTCTGTGCACCAGTCAGGAAGGAGGAGCTGTGCTTTCCAGCTGCCTGCATACACCCCTGCCTTTAGAACATTATCCATACTCGGAGTTGAATGCCAGGGAACATCTTCCATGGAGCTCTTAGAGAGCCATGCTTCTTCCAGAACATTCTTTCATGACAGTAGCTGTACCTGTATGACAGTCACCACCTTAAAGAGAGTAAACTTAAGGGCCTTTATGTGACTAACACACTTTTGCACATGCAGTGTTGTTGTAGCTGTGTCAGTCCCAGGAGATTAGAGAAACAAGGTGGGTGAGGTAATATCTTCTATTGGACCCACTTCTGTGGGTGAGCGAGACATGCCTTTGAGCTTACACAGAGCTCTTCCTCAGGTGACCTGAACATTTTGGCTCCTAAGAGACCCACCTCACTGTCTCCCCTGAAGTGGGTCCAATAAAAGGCATTACTTCACTCACCGTGTCACACTTGGGTACAGTAACTCAGGCTATTTTCAAAACAGGGGACAACTCTGCTACTTATATACAGGAGTCCTGTTGGTGTGAATGAGGAGCATCAGTTAAGAGGGAAACACAGGTGGCCAACTAAATTAATTATCTCCTTCTGCCCGTTAGCTAGCATCCCTTTTTCTTGCTGGCACAAACTATCACCATTAGGCACTTGGTTTTGTTTACCTAGTTCAGAAGGGTTCATTACATAAGATTAAAATACCACTGAGTACCTTGAGAGACGGATCAAACCTTAAACCACCCTGACCAGAAGGCCACTCACCTCAGCCTGGAGACTTTCGAGTCGTACTATATGTTGACTGGTTGATGAGTTCTTCTCCCGGAAGTCCTCTCGAAGGGCATGGACCTGCATTGAGAGTTGTCTCTCCACCTCTGATGCCTACAAATAGGAGGCCACACACAATTACCCCGAAATGAGAAACATGGGCAGGAAAAAATCCAGAAAGTGGTTAGCTTCTCCCACCCAAGGTGGATTTTATAAATCTGAAAGGAAACCCCTAAATTAATGTTATTTCCCAACAAAGTCTGGAATCACCAAAAATTCTGAAAAGAGGAGGCACGCTATGAGCTGGCTAACCCCTCCATACAAAGCTACTGAAGACACTTGAGTTGCATAGAGTTATAAATCAGTGCAGAATTCATCCCACACAGCCTCCTAGAGCCACTACAATTTAGCAAGCATCTCAAGGATGGGGACAACCAAAGAACACAGCCCACAGCTTTCCTACATTTCACTTTGCACTACTCCTACGGCATCCAGGGGCTTATGCTGAGTCTCAGCATTAGTAGAACAAATTTACCTCATTTGCATCTATTTATATATGGCACGAGGAGAGGAATAGCCTGACAGTGAGGGTAGCCGGAAGTTGATCTCTCTGGGTCAATCTTGTCTTTTCATTAAAAGATTTAAAGTGATCTCTGGCACCCCACTCTAAGCCCTGGGCCATCTCTCTGCTTGTATGGTTCTAATAATCCTTGCCTTAGATCTGTGGCCTGATAAAGGGGGAGATGCTCCAGGTGCATCTCTGAATGGGGTTTGTTATGTTCTTCCCTTTGATTTTGTCAGCAAAGATGGCTACCAGATTGGTGTGATGAGACTTGAGAATAGTTCCAGAACATTTTACCAGCCATTCCTCAGAGACTACTGCAGACTTTCAGCTATAGTAATAGCCATAGAACAGCCCTATTGCCACTCAGAAGTTAAAAACGATCCCTGAACTTGCACAGCCTACTAAAATCATAAACAAGGAACTAGAGCAAAGCCACTTTTTCCAGGTTGGGAAAAAATGGTAGTAAATCAGAAAAAGATAGTTTAATTGGTTCTCTCAGGATTTCCTGCCTCCCTGTGTGTCAAACCTAATTCAAAGAAGCCACTCCCTGGCCCCTATTAATAAGAACCATAGCACCCAAAGGTCATGCCTATATCTGTCAATAAAAAAGGCTCTGTGTGCTACTAATTGATTTTTAGCTTCCATCCTACCCTGTGCCAATATATTGTGTGTCTGGCTTCAATTGTCACTTCTGAAGGACACTACAAATCCCCCATTTTATTTGTCTTTTTTAACCATTGTCGTTACAGGTGCAGCATGTACCCACTACAACAAAAACATAGTGATATGAAAGATATCCTTTTTGAAGCAGATGCAATGTTCTCAGCATCTTGATCAGTTATCAGATTGACCCTAAACAGGGTCAATGAATTGCAGGTTTTGCATATGATTAATTAACCTTGTAAAGATGCTTTGGAATACTTCAACATGAAACACCGTATACATATAAGATAACCATCCTCTTCAGATGAAGGATGCTATAAAGGTCTTTTTCTGTGAGTATGACGCACTCAACTTCCACTGATGTCAAAAGGAATTGAAGAGACTAATAAGCACATTTAGTGCTACACAGCATGGGGCTTTAAAAGAGCAATATATTATGATGACATTATCTGAGGGCCCACAATAGTATTAAGCAAAGTAAACTCAAGTTGTGCATAGAGATAATTAATTCAACATTAACTGAGTCTGATTCTCCATGGATATCAGCTGACATGGTTTTGTGTCTGCGTATGCAGGTACCCACACCCAAGTTATGCAAGCACTCAGAACTCCAGGACCAACAGTGTCTCAGAAGATATGCTTAGGACTTGATGTTGCAGAGCCTAGTCTAGCTGTAGGATGGTGAAATATACAGACAAATAACCTGGTACTAATACAGAGAAGAAGAAATAATGCAGCAAAAAGTAATTCAGCTAAGAGAGAAAGAGCTTGTTGCAATACACCCAGCTGGCTTGGGTAGACCCATTAGAGACCTCAGAAGTCCACACGTTTTAATTACCTTTACATCATGAACTTGTAAACATTTGAAATGCAATCAAAAATGTTTTGGCATGTGTCCCTTCGCCATGTTGTTTCCTAGAAAATGATGTTTGATTTCCAGCAAGTGATTTTTGTTAGCAAGAAACAAATCTCTGTGCCATTCAGCTATGCAGATGTCATCACAACCAGGATCTTTTATAACTTATTATTATTTTTAAAAATTTAATATGGAATATTATTTGATGAGTGATGGTTTAGCCTGAAATCTACATGGAAAATGGCAAAGTTTTTTGTTTTTCTCAAAACAGAAGACTGGTTGTCTTGCTGGAAGACCTGATAGATGAAGTGTTCTGCTTTAGCAGATCATTATGATTGAAGTGGGGCTGTGGTGGACTCAATTTTACAGTTCAAGGAAGGAGGTGAGAAACGTGATTCATGGGATTGTGTGATTTCAGTGGCTACAATTTAAAGGGGAGTTTGGTTTAGTTCTTGGCCCTAGTATTCATTCATATAGGTTTAAAAACAACAGATGCAACTACAACAAAATACAACACAGCAGTACTTGCTAGTGTGCTCTTGTGTATGCCCTTTTTAAAAGTAATGATGGATTTTTTTTCTGTGCCACTAAACACTACAACACTGGAGAATGGATGGGTTAGGAAATCAGTAATAAGGGGGAGGCTAGGGGAATTTAAAAACAAAAAGTGTTTTGATTTTCCCAGGCCTTTCACCTTTCCTTTGGACACTACAAAGCATCCATAATTCTTTGTAAAGGTGACAGACATGCAAGGACCAGTTTGCAAGGCAAATCTCTGCATTTTTTACTGAACTTTAAGAAACCAGATGCAAAGCAGCAGCCTTCATCTTGTCCACTGAGCATTGCTATTTGGATAATTTCCTGGGTAGGCCCAAATTTATTACCATAGGTTAATTTGTCTTCCAGGATTGCGAACTTTACAGCAGGCACACAAGTGGAGTATAAACTGACACAAGAAGATTTGAGAAAAACTACAGGTAATAACCAACTATTGTCTCCGTATGGAATGTTTTCTGATTAGTTAAATGAAAACAATGTCTTAACAAATGACTGTATGCACATCACAGGAGGTGTCTGAAGTAGGGTGACCAGTTGTCCAGTTTTCGACCAGAACACCTGGTCGAAAAGGGACCCTGGCGGCTCCAGTCAGCACCGAAGTCCGGTTGTGATGCTGCCCAGCAAAGGCAGGCTAGTCCCTACCTGTTCTGACACTGTGCTGCGCCCTGGAAGCAGCCAGCAGGTCCAGCTCCTAAGCAGGGGGTCTATGGGGCTCTGTGCGCTACCCTCACCATGAGCACAGGTTCCACACTGCTGGCCAAAGGGAGCTGGGGGGGGCAGTGCCTGTGGAGGAGATCAGCATGGAGAACTGCCTGCGTGCCTCTGGCTAGGAGCCGGACCTGCTGGCTGCTTCTGGGGCGCAGTGCGGTCCGTGGTGCCAGGAGAGGCAGGAAGTCTGCCTTAGCGCCCCTGCTGCGCCACTGACCAGGAGCCACTGCGTCCGCAGGTAAACCCGCGCTCCAACTCCCTGCCCCAGCCCAGTGAAAGTGAGTGAGGGTGGGGGAGAGTGAGCCACTGAAGGAGGGGGAATGTAGTGAGTGGGAGATTGGGCCTCGGGGAAGGGGGTGGGGCCTCAGGGAAGGAACTGGGCTAGAGTGCTCAGTTTTGTGCGATCAGAAAGTTGGCAACCCTAGTCTGAAGCCCAGCCTTCCTGTTGTACTTAGGTTTAAATGGAAAAGGAAATAAATCAAGCATTCAGCTTAGCTTAAGAGGAAAAAATTATGCATTAAAAAGGGCCCAAATCCTTCTATTGAAATCAATACCCCCATTTTGGACCTACAATAGGTTGACATTAAAAGTCCAGATAGAGGACAAAGATATGATAAGAAACAAAACATTATATGCTTGGAGGACATCCAAAACTAATTAGTGCACAGTGTTGCATGTTTGGCTTTTGTTCTGCATGCATATGTTCCACTCCTGAAAGAAATGCAGAAAATGGGATACAGTTCTGCAGTGTGAATCACAGAGTGGAATTTTGCTCTAAGACTCTAGTTGCTCCCAATCTATTAAAATGAAAATCAAACATAGGGCTCAATGGCAGCAAACTGATTCCTGGTTATTAGAAAGGACTAAGACTCTACTACTGTTATACTTTAACTATATTAAAGATTATTTTAATTGTCTTTACAGCATTGTCAGTCTTCATATGTGACCTTGCGCAAGTCATTTAATTTCTCCACGCCTCAGTAACTCCATCTGTAAAATAGGAATGGGTACAACCAACCTCACAGGAGGGTTGAGAGGCTTAATTCATTAAAGGTCAGGTCTAGTTTCACTGAAGTCAATGGGAGCTGATTTCAATGGGACCAGAATTTGGCACCAATTGTTTGTAAAGAGCTTTGGGATCCTTAGATAGAAAGTTTATTATATCTCACTGCAAGGATGTCAAAGATATATCCCAAATTTCCTCAGTTTTATCATCTGGCCTTGACTTTAAATGAAATACCTGAATGATATACACCAAGTCAATAGAGGTCAAGGTAATTGTTAAAAGATCAGTGTGCAGTGTTTTGTATTGTGGAAAAGTGAGCCTGTGTCTAACAAGGAAGGCAAATCTGTACCTTTCCAAGGAACGAGAAATCAGGGAAAGGAGACTATCATAAACCTAGTATTTCAAACTCCAGGATAAGTGGAATTTTAACATTAAAGCTTCTACAAATAACTACTGTTTCCCCAAACAGGAGTATGCTTTGAATTCTTAATATGGACTGTGGCAAAAATCAGCCTGTATGTGGCCTCTCTAGTGTAAAATCCAAAAGTCAAAGACATTCCTTATAGCAGAACCAAAAATAAATCATCAGCATAGACCAAAAGATACTCTAATGGAAATACACAACATTTGAACTCCTTTTTAGGGTATCTCTATAAATACCCTAAATTTAGATAAATAGATAGATATCTCTACTGCAATAAAAAAACCTCATGGCAGTGAGTCTCAGAGCCCAGGTCAAGCAACTCAGTCTAGCGGGGCTTAGGCTGTGGGGCTAAAAACAGCAGTGTAGATATTTGGGCTGGAGCCTGGGCTCTGAGACCCTCCTGCAAGGTTTCAGAGCCTGGGGCTCCAGCCCAAGCCTGAACATCTACACTGCTATTTTTAGCCCCAGAGCCTGAGTCCTGTGAGCCCAAAAGCTGTGCTGTGGGTCTTTTATTGCTGTGTTGATGTACCCTAGTGACTAGCTGAGGACACAGGAACTTCCAAATATCTTCAAAAGTATTTATTTTTAAATGAGGAATAGATATCAGTGTGGGCACAAACATGAAATACTTCTTCAGAAAGAGAGAGGTTCCAAGCTCCTAGCTGGCAATTGGAACCCAGGGGAATCCAGCCTCTATTCTCAAAGTCAGTTCTGAAGGAAGTACCTTAGGCTGAAGTCTATCTGAGACACTGGCCATCCAGGTTCAAAAATATGACTTCTATCCTGTCTCTTAAAATGTGCCTATGCCTAAAAGTGGGTCACCATGAAAGGCTCAAAATGCGGGACTGCTGGAAGCTTAAAATGATTTGACATCCATTTCTTCAACATAAATAATAAAAGGGAGAACACACCAGAGTTATTTGGGGCACATTTAATGTGTGACAACCAAGGCAGAGTTGTGAAGGATGGGAAATGAATTCTAACATTTTCACCCTTAAAGTGCAGAGATGCAATTTCTACATTTAAGGTAAACGCTATTCTAGATCTTAACATGCATTAATCAGAAAACAAAAGGAAAGCCATTAGATGGCCCAAGCTTTCAAAAGCATTTTTACACAATTTTTAAATTTGTGCCTGCAAACAGACTGTTGACCTCTATCTATCTGAACTGCAGGTGCTAATATGTGTGTGCTTGCAAACCGAATAGGTGGATATCAAAAGTATATTATTTTCACCTGCGAATAGCTGTGTGCCAAGAAGTGCAAACACAAATTCAGAGGCTGTTTTAGATAACTTAGCCCATAACCTTTAAGAAACTGACTGGCAAGTAAAATCTGAAAAAGCTCCTCCTCACCCCACCCCCAACTGAAGAGAGAACAGTTTCTAAAACAGAAAAGGGAAGGAAGAAAATAACTTTTTCTTAGTTTGCAGAACAAATCAGTATATTTAAACAAAGGATCAGGAAGAAATTTTCCCCCAAGCCAAACTGTGGTATGACCTTGGTTTTATTTTCCCCTCTTCTGCAATATGTGGTGCAGGTCACATACCAGGATTATCTGGGTCTATCTCACTTAATCAATTCCCTGCCTTTGTAGAGGCCTCAGGCATTGGTGCATGTCGGTCCCTCCTGTTCTCTGCCTGTGGCACATAATAGTTTAGTCTCCTGTGGGCTGTAATACTTGGGTCTAATTTTGTTTGTTGGGTTTAGCGTGCAGGTACTGGCTGGTGCTGGTGGCTTGTGCTATACAGGAGGTCATACTTGATGATCTGATGGTCCCTTCCGGCTTTAAACTCTACATATGACTCTCTGAGACAAATTTAAATCGGATCTAAGGGTTACAAAGCCAACCATCCATTAGGCTCAATTTCTGTCCTGTCATTCACATCACAGTTTAGTTCTAGAATAAAATGTTCAGCTGTCACTCATGCTGATTTTGTTAGCTTCTCAAGTGTTTTTTCTCAAACCTTGCAGCCCCAGAGCTGATGAAATTTTCCTTGGACTTGAGCACAAACTGTTGGTGGACAGTGAACAAAGCCTCCACCCCAATCACTGCAAAAGTTCACTTTAGCAGCAGGAGTTTCATTTTAATTCACACAATAAAACAAATTTTTGGCTGCATACATAACAAGCTGTGGTCATAAGCTTAAAATTAACACTTGGGCACAGGGAATCCAGCTTGGGACTATGTACTCAATACATATACAGTCTCCTTTTTGGGCTAACAGGGAATCTCTGCCCCCTGACAGTCACAGGAGGACAGACTGTTTTTGTAGGCCAGCCACTAAAAATCCTATAAACAGCTCTGATTCCATCACACGGAGAGTGCAGTAGCTCACACACCAGTACACTACAGTTATAGGTTCACATTAAAAAAAACCAACACCCCAAACTGTCCCTCCTTTGAAGGAAAGCATCATCATGCTCTCTAACTGTGCCTGTGCTGGGGGACAAGCCTTTGCCTGCTAGCAATACTCCCTGCTCAGTCAGTGTCCTTTATTCTCCCAACAACCCAAAACATTGCTGACCTTAGAACTGGGCTGTTAGATATCCAGATGAAAAGCTTTTAGATGTCTGTTAGGTCTGTCTCCTCCATGCAGGTAACCTAGCTTCCAAATACTTTCCCTTCTATATTTTCATCAGCCTCCAGACACAATCCTAAATTGTTGTTCTCCTTCATGATAGCAAAAGAATGGTCTGTCTGTTTTAGATAGTAAGCTCCTTGGGGCAGGGACTATGATGTCTCTGGTTTTGGTTGGTTGGTTTGTTTTTTAAATGCTTAACTCTCAAAGTGAGTGCCTTTTGGAGATCCTGGAGGCTACACCATCATGTCTTTTCCTTTATCCTCCCCACTCAGCCTCCTTTCTATGTCGTCTCCCGCTGTGCTTGACTTGACTTAGTGCTGAATACTGCAAACATTTTACACAGGTGCATAGTCCCACTGATGAACATGTTTACAGGATCAGGCTCTTGGACTGTAAGCTCTTCAGGGCAGGGACGTGGCCTTTGTTTTTTGAAGGGCCATGCATCTCTATAACGTCATTTAAGTCATAAACAAAACAATAATAGCAGCAATAAACTCTAATTGGGGCTAAAGCTGCTGCATTTGACTGCATTAGGTTACTCTATAATGAAGACTCTCTTAATAGCTACTTATACAACTTAGGGTACACCTACACAGCAAAAAAGACCTGCAGCATCAAGTCTCAGAGCCTGGGTGAACTGACTTGGGCTTGTGCACCAGAGCTAAAAATAGCAGTGTAGACATTTGGGTTTGGGCTGGAGACCAGGCTCTGAAACCCGGTGAAGAGGGAAGGGTCTCAGAGCCTGGGCTCCAGCCAAGCCTGAACATCTGCACTGATATTTTTAGCCCTGCAGCAAGAGCCCTGCAAGCCCAAGTCAGCTGACACGGGCTCTGAGATTCACTGCTGTGGATTTTAGTGTATGTGCTGTGTAGACATAACCTTTGAGTCTAATGGGCCAGATTTTCAAAAGTGCTCAGCACCCAGGATTGGGGATGCTAAGTGCTGAGCACTTTTGAAAATCTGGTTGCTTATTTTGATGCCAATGTGAGAGGAGTTGGGTGAGGAACTGTTTTGAGAATCTGGCCTTAGTGTTGCTATGACTGGCTTGAGCTCATCAGGTTTTTAGTCAATTTTCTTGAGAAGCAATTGCATAAATTCTTCAAAAGATGTGGGAGGCTGGAGGCAAGAGCATGGAACCTTTTTTTGGAAGCTTGTCCTCCCTCAGTGGGATTTTAAACAGAGTTTCTTAGAGCAATTATTTTTAAAGATCAGCTTTCAGCATATTTTCCTATGCTCCTGCTCTCAAGCTATGTCCTACAAAAATATGTGCTTGGAAAAAACAAAAATAAAAGAAGTAAATTAACAGAAAGGACAATTTGTATGAAAAATAAAAGAACAAAGCTTATTTTAAAGGCTCACCATCCCACAGTGTTTTTACTCACAGTCTGAAATCATACACACGTTTCAGCATAAGTGATCACGGCTTGAAAAGAGGTTTTTACTCATTTTTTCGATATAGGTTAGAGGTTGTTGGGCACCAAATTCAGGACATCCCTTCATATGCTGCATGGGTGGTCACCTGTGCTGGAACAAGCCACTTTCGGGTCACATAAAAATAATTTAATAGATGAAGTTTTTGTTGGAGGGGTGGAGAGGGAAATAAAATTCCGGCAGGAGAAAAGAAAGAGCTACTAAGGCGGTGTCACTACCAAAGGTTGTGGAGAGCGTAACTACATGTGTAAATCAGAATGCACTGAAAGTATATTGTAGGCACAGACACTTTTGTGCCTAGCTTTGTACTCTGAGTTTGGGGCACCAATGTCCTAATTAGATTTATGACTGCAGCCACAGTTTTGAAAATGTAGGTCAGGCTCTGTTATTGTTTAATGTAAAAACCTCCCCGAATGGTTCAGTAGGAGCAGAGATCTGCTCTAGAAGGATAAATGTAATTGTTTTTGAACTGTTTTAGAAGCACTGAATTTGCTGCTTCTTGACAACACTGAGCTCGGACATACTGAGTGTTTTCAGTAGTCATAGACCAAACAGGTTCAGTTTGGAGTGGGTGAAAGAGGCACAAATGCTCAAAGCAGCACACTGCACTCTAGCTTTCTGTGTACTTATCAGCAGTGAAGTCATTCCTACCAAGTCAATTGGGTAGAGAGGAATCTGAGGACATTGTCCAGATCTCAGATTCAAAATATTATCAACCCAAGCACAGTGGGGATTATACAAAGGTGTCTCTGTTTTATGTCACCCTATTTGCCCACTTCAAAAAGGATGCTCTCCATCCCTATACTGCTACTAACATATTGTCCTTTCCTAGCAGATGGAGATCTGATAGCATGTGCTCCAGTCCCTGACGAAGACAGCTTCCTGGCACAGCTGGCAAGATCAGACTGAGGAATATGATTTATATTCCTCAAGCACCACCTACTTGGACTCTTTGTCCTGGGTGGGGACCTGAAGTGGCTCAGTCCTATTGCTCTTTAGGGCATGCTGCAAGGTTCCTCATTCCGTGGTGGCTTTTGGGGAATAGGATGTTGCTGAAGGGGCATGGGGTATTTATAGGGAGTATGGGGCATTTTTCTTATTTATTCCTTTGCTGCAAGGTTTAACCATTTGCTGTTGTAGTAGATAGAGGAGGCTGCTGATGATATTATCTTTGTTTAATTGTGCTTTTAAATAATTGTCAAGGCTGCCTGGAGCTTAGGATAGGCGCCTCATGTGTCTGTTTCTACAAATCTAACTAAATAAAAAGAAATATTTTAAGAGGACAACAACTGAAATGAGAGCTGAATAAAACAGACAAAGTAATTGTGTGGCTGAGTCAGCTCCTCTTAACTGGTAGCAGGGAGATTTCATGCTTACATACAGTTAGAATCAGATTTATTTTTGGAAAGTTTTTTTTTTAATTTTGGCAATTTGCATTTCCTTTGTCTCCTTTTCCATGGAAGTTCATTTATTGTTACTATTTTTATTTAAATGGAGAAACAAGACTAACCTCATAGGGGAAAGCATGCAGATTATTGCACATTTTGAGAGCACACTGATCTAGTACACTAATTCTTAAGAAACTACAATAGGCTTTTCAACTGGGATCTGACATAGCAATGCTGCGTTTAAATTAACATTTTTCTTTTCCTCTCATACTGTATATCTCCTGCTAGTGAAAAGCAAGATTAATGTGATCAATGTCAGAAGAGAAAACTTTATTCTGCATTCCAGGCTGGGATGTGGCTGATATTTCTCTTGTACATGCATGAGTTTTTGGTAGGAAGAATAGGTGTATCATAGCACTGCGTGCCCAAATATGGGGCTGAATGCATCTAAGATGGTGCAGCTGACACTTTCTTCCAGCCCTTCAGCATGCTGGTTACAACAATATAGGCCTAAGCTACACTAACAATTCTAAAAGCACCAGTGCGTAGCTGTTTGACACAGTTAGGTACATCCATGTTCTAGCACAGCTGATTTTTGGAGTGTGAACGGGACAACAGCCTTATAGAACCATGTTAGGAAATAGAATTACAGCTCCCTTACACTCAGACTCAGCCTCTTTTATCCCTACTCACATGTCCCACTTATCAATATGCTGCTTACATGCCAGCCCCCTTTTTCTGGCCCACTGACTGGACAGTTTTTCTGGCCTGGGGCAAACCTGGAGTCCTCTCCCTCACTAGCTCAGAAATTTGCTCTTGGGGGAGATTTAAATGTGCATAAGCTTCCCTTACCATGGCCATCCAGGCATATTTGTGTAATGTGTGGCTATGTATAACCTTGCTACCTAAGGTTAGGCTTATTTTTAACAAACCATATTACTCCATAGAAAACTGGAGTAAATAATAGGTCTCAGTGTATAGACTCTCTGTTGAACTTCTTCATGGGTTCAATCGGTATTTTCAAATCTTTGTCTGGTTTCAGTTGCTTTAACTCTTTTCTATGTTCCCTCATACATTTTGGTTTCTCCTCTCTGTTCCTCCCTCCCTCCTTTTTTTTTTTTTTTTTTGCCTTCCTCCCTGTTTAGTTCTTTTCTATCCCTATCCCCTCAGATAATCCTCTCTCTGATCTCCTAGTTTGTCACAGGAACTTCAGGTGCTATCATTCCTTCTGTTTTCATTCTCTCTTTAATTTTAAAGGAACAGCACCAACACCACTTTTTTGGGCCCAGTACAACCAAGCTGCATTCAGTGCAGGACCTGAGGTGGAGGTAGAAAAGTAGCTCTATGCCCCTTTCGCATTTCCTGGGAAAGCCAACCCTGGTTTGGCCCCTAGTGAAAGTTTCAGAGATGCTTTAGCTTACATTGCCATTAATGACAGAGGATTGCTTACACACAGCATGCTCCAGTCATGCCCCCTATGTCATGGGCATGGTAGTGGCAGACAGACGGCTACACAACAACACTCAAGGATTCCCGGGTAAGACCCTAACCATGGTAGCTTTCCAGTCCTTTTGTGCCACCAGACCGGTGGAAAGTGTCTGCATGGGGGTCAAGTATATGGCCTATTTTGTTTATCTAGGTTTTTACATGACACTCATCATCTTGGGAGCTGAGGAGCAAGAGAAGGGAAAGGAATATTAGACGTACTATAGTTCTTTATAGGAAGATAGATACTGCCTAGACAGACCATGGGTCTGATTTGGTATGGGAATTCCTATCTCCAACATTGGCCAATACCATATACTTGAAAGGAAGGTGCAAGAAATCCTGCAACAGGCAATTATGGTATTACTTGCTGTGATGGGGTGCCTACTGCACACAGGTGGTGAAAGAGTTAATACGGGCTGGAGAGGCTAATTAACTCACTTGGTTGCACCTGGAGGGTGGGCCAGACCTAATTAATGATGAAACAGAGCTGCTGAGAAGCTGGGTGGTTACTATAAAGACAGGAAATGTGGCATAGATAGGGGTAGTAGGGAGAAACTTTAAAGTCAGTCCTCTGGTAGGGAATAGGAAAGCTCTTGCAGGGTGAGGAGACAGGCATGGTAGGTAGAAGTCAAGGGAGGTGGCAGCAAGGAGTCTGCTGGAGTGAACCTAGACTGCCTGTGCTAGGGTCCCTGAGCTGGAATCTAGTGTTGTAATTGGGCCTGGGTTCCTACCAGCGAGTACTGTGGTGGTGTGAGCCCCCTGAGAAGGGGCTATGGACTACTGGAAGCTCTAAGAAAAGCATATACAGACCACTGGGTCCAGAACAGAGGGTGGCAGACCAGATGGAGAAATTAGACATTTGTTTTTGTTGAACTTTTAGATATCCCTGGACTAAATGTGACCTGGCTGGAGAGCTGAGTCATGAGAGGAAGCAGACCAATGCAGGACCAGAGTGAGTGTTGGTTGAGGGTGCCAAACAGGAAAGAGTTGATATGCTCAGCTGTGAGGGGTATACAAGCAGTGAGTTCCTCCTTCTATACTTCCCCACAGAGACAGTTTCTAAGCTGGATCAGTTAGAGGCTGGTTTATGCCCTTAGACGTGAGGGCTTACATCCTTTCCTAAGTACTGAAGAAAAAAAATATTTCTTATTGTAACTTTGGACATTTGAATCATCAGTAGAAAAGTCCAATTCTTTTTAGAATCCTGGTAAACTCTGGCCCTCAAAGATATCTTGGTGACAATGAGTTCTATAGGCCAACTGTGCATTGTGTAAAAAAGTAATTCCTTTTTATTAGTTTTAACTTTAGTGCCTCATTGTCATTGGTGGTCTCCTTTTTCCTGTATACGGAAGTGTGTGTAGTCCCACCAGGGCAGGTGTGTAAGAGTGTCTCACATTGAAGGGGTCTGTGGGAGAAACCTCTCACTCCTCCTTCAGCTATAGACCTTTGTACCCATGAAGACCACAGCTTTCCCCTGAAGAATATCAAACCCCATCTTTCTTTCCTTTCTCCTGCTCCACCCATAGTGGATCGCTAAGAAGTTAGAACATTGTGTCTGGTCTCAGGGTCAAGATGGGTGATGACAGAATAAAATCACCCTGATAGTAAAGTGTGCATACAACAGCACTTTACATTTGCAAAGTGTTGTCCTACTTTAATTCTCTCTCACCTGGGAGGCTGACTAGATGTTATGGCCACTTTACAAAGTAGAGAAACAGCAGAGAGGTAAAAGGACCATGAGACTTTATTGGAGAGGGCAGCATTACAAGATTTTCCACCCACCCACCCCCTTTCCCTGGAGTGTTCCAGCAGGTCACTCTAGGGCAGTAGTAGGAGACAGCAAGCAGGTGGCTGGGATTAGTTAGGCTATTCCTAGAAGATGATTTCATTTCCATGACGGCCTGGGGTCCAGGCAATGAATCCCAGCAAAGTCTAAGGCTGTCTGCAGCAACTCTACCAAAATCAGAACATGAATAGCAAATTGCTACTCTTGTGCGTAGACTTAACATTTAAACCACTAAATGCAGGAAGTGCCAGAGAGGTCCTTCACTGTGAATGAAGGACCTTCCAATATATGTTTCTTGGCTATGGTTAAACTGAACACCCCAGAAATATAGTTCAACCATTGAACAAACAAAAACTTCATTGGTTCCTGTTGTTGCAATAAAGCCATCCCCTGCCCAGGGACAATTCAGAAATGCACTCCTCTATTGTCAAGCATACTAAGTATGTCCAGGAAAGGTGGACAAAGACACAAATGCCATTCAGAAAGATACACATCTGGTGGAGTTGAGCATCCCACAGTTATCTTGAGGGATGTCCCAGAAACGTGCTTCTCCAATATGGGACATAATATTGGAAGGTCACTTTGTTCCATTATTCTAAAATGGTTTGAAACACAAAGCACCAAATAGCAGCAACAGATAATGGTTTAAAGAGCCTCTCACTTCTAGGTCATATCAAGTGGTCAGTTTAGATGAGCTATTACCAGCAGGAGAGTGAGTTTGTGTGTGTATGGGGGTGGGGGGGGAAGTGAGAAAACCTGGATCTATGCAGGAAATAGCCCGACTTGATTATGTAAAGAGTTGTCACTTTGGATGGGCTAGCACCAGCAGGAGAGTGAATTTGTGTGGGGGGGTGGAGGGTGAGAAAACCTGGATTTGTGCTGGAAATGGCCCACCTGTTGATCACTTTAGATAAGCTATTACCAGCAGGACAGTGGGGTGGAAGGAGGTATTGTTTCATATTCTCTGTGTGTATATAAAGTCTGCTGCAGTTTCCACGGTACACATCTGATGAAGTGAGCTGTGGCTCACGAAAGCTCATGCTCAAATAAATTGGTTAGTCTCTAAGGTGCCACAAGTACTCCTTTTCTTTTTGCAAATACAGACTAACACGGCTGTTCCTCTGAAACCAACAATAAAAAGTTATTGTTGTCTGGCTGTTTGATGCCCTATATGAAAATAGTGTGGTGATTTCAGTCCAGTGGCCAAGTGTTCTCATGTTTCTAACATAAATTGTCCAACATTGTTGGTAATGTCAGCAGAGAGAGACTGATTAGGCTACAGAAACTGAACCACATACTCTCAGCCTTAAAGCAGGTCCATTCAGGTCAGGATTTATGAATGTTGGTAAAACAGTGTGGGAGGAGGAAGGGAAACTTGCGCTGCTACTGCCCATTCCATTAGTAAACAGAGGATAGCCATTTCCAGCAATGTCAAACAAAGCTACACAGGAACTCTTAAACTGGTGCTTAAATTATGAAGACACTTTTTAAACTTTTTTTTAACTTTTTTTGCCAAGGGAAAGTATTTTTGATGAAACAAAGGTGTTCTTTCACTTGTCCTTATTCAAAGAGTTTGTAGTCATGTCAAATTATAGTGACTATCTCCAAGCTGAGACATTACAAATGAAGACACAAATAACACTTAACAAAAGGGGAATAGATTGTGAAGAGGAGACAAGTAGTTTAAATACTTGTGCACCACAAGCCATGTCTGCTGTCACATTATTGTATTTAATAAAGGCTGAGATGCCTATATAATATTTTAATTCTTGGTTTGCTTACCAAGCTGTTTTTCCAGTAAGAAAAATTCAAGAGCTTCATATCTTAGGAATGTGAACCTGCAGTATGTATACTGGAGGTGTGTGGAAAGCATACTGTGTGCTGAATTCACTGGTCTGCTAAAGTCACTTTGCTCTGCTTATCATGCATCTCAAAGTGGCCTTGAAACTGGCTGGTCATAGCCAATGAAGAAATCCTCCTATGCAGAGGAACTCTCTGCTGGTGCAAAGCTAGCAGAGGCAGTTCTGTCATCTTCTGTGCCAGTCAGTCCCCTCCTTGGTGTAAGGGAAAGGACAGGGCACATCAAGAAGGGGTTTTTGTGGAGTGGAAATCTTCTATGCCTGATCTTCCATTGGTGTAAGGTCCCTGAAGGACTTTACACAAATAGTATCAGCTAAGGCTGCTCCTGTGTCCATATTACCAAGGAGTGATCCAAACCCAGACTGAACAGTATTCAGAAATTAACAGGTTAAGGAGGGAGAGGCGGAGAAGGGCAGCATAGGTTCATTAAGCCCTTGTTGTGGGGATGTGGAACTTCCCAGCATGATATCCATTGGCACCAAGGGACTAAGGAGATAAAGATATTAAAGTCCAACTTTTCAGCACAAGCCTTTTGTCAAGTGCCGATTCAAAATACACCTTTACCCGTCAAGCTGTGAGGCATTAAGTATATCCACACACCTTGAGCCTGTTAACTGGGAGGGCAGGTGCAAACCCTAGTTTTTGGAAACAGAATACTGACTTTCCCCTCTTTCATCAAGTTTACAGAGGAGCTTTGGAATTGGTGGTAGTAATAATCTCACTGCAGCACTTTTTAACATAACCTGGTGCAGCGAGGAGATGTGGCCTTCCGCCCTGTCAGCAGGGGAAAGACCAGAGATCGCCCCCTGGTGGGCAGAACCAGGCCACCTGCAGCCGCCCCTGCTGCAAGCAGAGGGGTGGGACAGGAAGCTGGACTATAAAAGGCCAGCCGCCTAGCTCAGTAAGGAGAGGGTTGTTAGAGGAGCAGGATCTCTCTTCCTTGCTGCTG